GTCGCTCTGGCTCAGCACTGATATGTGATCGATGAAGTAGTCGTCGGCCATCGGGCGCATGAATCTGTTGCACAGACAAGACTTGCCCACGCCCACCTGGCCGCGGTCCTTTTCGGTCCCGGATAGTCCAATGACCGAGATGTTAAACTGACGCATCTTGACGTACCTGCAAGGAGTCAAAGTCAGGGGTTGGATAAGTGAATAGATCCAGAGACTAAAGATTAAAGGGAGCAAACAGGGTTTTCCGGGGCTTTGTGGTCTAAAGAACGACTTTAAACAATTAGGTCGACGAGATGGTATATTTAATTACAATTTAGAAAACATTTTGTTTATGATTATGCACATAAGTAGATGACAGTGTTGGCTTTATAGGGCCTCAAAAATACAAAAGTTTATTTTTCAGGATTCCTTTGTTTAACATAAGATTGGACTGCACAGAACTGATTTTACAGATTACAGAAGAAAGTAGGTAACGCATCCATTATATCAGGTCCACAAACTTTTGTTTTAATGTTAATTTTCTCTTTGGCAAAGCAGAGTTAGAATCTCCTAGGCTTTTAAAGACAACATATAAACGCATACACATATTTACACTAGTTTTTTTTTAATTTTTTGACAACGTGTTTGCTAAATTATGCCAACCGATGGTATTATTGATAGTTGTGCAAGTTTTAAGAATCTGTCAGAAAGATTTCGGTTTTGGTTAGTCGGCCATCTGACGAATGTGATAAGAAAAGGTCTTTTGGCTTTTTGAAGGTACGCTACTAGTTTATCTCGCTTTCACAGAGTCTACTATTTATGGGCACTTTTCACAATTTTTTGCTGTCTTATGCCAACCAATGGCTATTGTCAACGACAACCTTGTGCAAAATTCAAGTTGGAGAAAGACGTGTGCCCCGCGTCCGTTGGTCCAATTGGCCACAGGACCTTCACATTTTCGCCCACTTTTCGCCTGTCTAGGACTTTGTCATGGGTTCATTTTGGCTACAACTACGCAGTTACGGATACATCCACGGATTGGGGGTCCAAAAGCACAAGAGAGCGAGAGCAAAAGATTGGCTGCTGCGGTGTGACAAAAAAAAAAACGTGAAAGCGATTTTCAAATGCCGGCGCTAAGCAAAAAATCCGCTTATGCTATTTTTCACTATTCACTTTCCACGAATCGATTTCACAACGCTGGCTGGGCTCTGCTTTACCTGGTTCTTGTGCTTATATGCTTAGTTTTTACAACATTTTCGGCAATAGGAAAAGTCAGTCTGCAACAAATCCTTTTTCCGTCCTTACTGCGGCGGCTGCTCTGCCGCGTCGCTGCTTTTGTGCTTCTGGTGCTGCAAACGACGGCGCAACTCTCCAGAGCTGAAACGCTCCAGAGAGAGCGAGTGTGCGAGAAAGAGAGATGGAAAGGCGAACGGAAAAGAGAGTGGCGCTGTCGTGGGTGGATGTGACTGTTTGTTGTTGCTGGTGCACTCCAATTTGTTGCTGTTAATCTCGCAAATGATTGTCGAGTGGGAGTGCAAGTGTGCGACTGTGGGTGTGTGTTGTGTGTGTTGCAGCCTCGATGAGAGTGGAAATAATAAATTCCCCGCTGGGCTTTAATTGAGTTTTTCCGGCGCACATACACGCACACATGATTAGCAAGTGCAGTGTGAGCAGCGCAGAAGCGAAATTGGAGCTGCAACAGATTTCCTGCACATTCCCCGGGCTGCACAACAACAACAGTATGGAGAAAGAGAGCGAGAGAGCCGATCCAGTGATAACAACAACGACAAAGACAAAATGGGAGGCCCACGGTTATTATTGTTTGTTGGAAGAAGGGAGGCGAAAAGAGAGCGGGAGTGGGAGTACTGCAAGTGCAACGGTACCATTACAACACAATCGGGTGTGGCGGGAAAGAGATGGAGAGAGAATAACACAATTTTTGAAAATTCAGATTTGTTGCAGAAAAGAAAAACACTGTTGCCGCATCCGTCTAGCCATCTCGCTTTTGCGCGGACACTCCAAGCATCACGGCATCTCGCTCTGTGTGCACAATTACCTGCAGCTGCGCACAAGGAATTCAGGTTTAATCCGTCTTGGTGACAGTTTTCATAAAGTCCGTGTTTCTTGGCTTTTCCAAACACTTAACAAAATAAGAAACAATCGTTAGTTGTATTTGCTTTAATTATTTTTCCCACCACGAAACTCTCACTCACACACGAACACACAGAATGCGAAGAGAAAGAGAGAGCAAGAGGAGAGCACCGCGTACACAACGTATACAAAAGAAGCAATTACGAATCAGCATCGTAAAACGCACACTGTAAAAAGGAGGCGAAATAGTCAGGACTTCCGATTAAGTGATCAAAACTTAAAACTAGCCGAGTCGCAAATCACGCACGTACGCTACTCACAATTAATGCACTTGCACTCCAATGCGGGGGTTCGAATTTAAAATTTCAGTACTAGTAATTCACATCCGAGCTTTAATTTAACAACAACAAAAATTAGAGCTGGGACAAGAATCGATGATTTTTCTATACCAACGATATATAAGGAAATTCTGCAACATCGATAATTGCTTAAAAACAATCGTATCAAAACATCGGGTATATTCAGCTCTCGAATCCTATTCACACTAGGGTGGAGTTATAGAATTCGATAGTCACTCCGTTTTTTTTAACATAGGCTTTGCATTACCTACTAAAGGTTGACAGCAGTGGAGTATTTTGTATTTTTTGGTATATTTGTTAATTTTTGCCTGTCGTTGACGGCCTGTCACTTAAAAAATAAATGAAAACAGCTGTTTTGGATTTTTCGCGGATGCCAAGGGGGAAAATAAAAAGTAGGAAAATTGCATCAATATATACTTGAATTCCGAGTTTATTGGACGATTACCGATTTATTGGGTTACACGCGGCCATATAGACGCTTTTTAGCTTTTAAAACCAAAAAAATCATTAAAACGTTAACCGATAAATGGAGTTTACGCATCGTCAACACTTTTTTGAAGTAATCCGGGTAACCGAATAAAGTTTAGTAAACATAAACCAATTAAAAAAAAAAAAAAAAAAACGGAGTTAACCCAATAACTAATAACTTCATGACATCACACTGGTGTAAGTAGGCTTTAAAAATTAATTGGTTACTGTACAAACGATTTATGAAGTAAAATACCAAAGCAAATATACGCCAGCAGGATGAGAACTTTACTTAACCTTTAGTAGCAACTCCAATTAGGTGAAGACCGTGACTAGACATGGGTTGTTGCACCTTATTCAAAACGTATTATTGGCACATTGCGAATTACGCATGCGCACAGTGTGCTCATAGTAATTTTAAGGAATTCTTTCAAAAATAATATTCTTGAGTTCGGTTGTTTCGGTGATCAAGATGCGCGTTCAGGCAACTATTTTAAGCAGCCAATAAAAGAACATAAATTAAGAGATCATTAAGAACTCACATTTTTAAATTTTTTTTTTGTATTTCATTTATAAATTAAATAAATTATTTTGTATATCTTTACATACCTGTACTGTTTGGGTAAAATCTTTTGATTCAAATGTTACACATTCCATGTGGATTATCGGTATAAAACATATGTATTTTTTATTAGCTCACTATCCAATTAAATATATGTACTTTATCAGTCTGTCAGTTTGTAAGTAAAATAGCTCGAATGAAATTTTATAAAAAATCTAACGTGAACAAAATTAAAAAAAAAAAAAAACAATAGGAAAATTATCAAACCTGCTGTTTTTAAACATATTAAATTTGGAAAGTAGTACACGAAGAAGCTAACATTGTCAGTATGGCACAAACATTGGGAAAACATTTTGATTTCAAATATTTTAGAAACTAAATGTTTATTTCATGGGTGTATATGTACATACATACATAGGTAAGCGTTAGATTTCCTTGGTTGTTTAAACAGAAATGTTAATCTGCGTTTGTGGGCTCTTTGAGTGTATAAAAATGTTTTAAACAAGATAGGAAGATAGCTTATATACCCTTGCAGTCATTAAATATGTCTAACAAAATACAAAAAGGCTAAACAGCATCAAATCTATGACGATTTTTGTATTAATTTGATATTGATATAGTCGTCCGATTTTGATGAAATTTTATTTGTAACTCAAGACTCCATAGAAAACTCTATATTCAAAAAATCATGATTGTCTGATGAAAAACAACGAGGTAATAATTTTATTTCCGTTATTTCTATATAGATTTTTCGATCTTTCCTATGGCAGCTATGTATATGATATAGTACTCCGATTTTTATGAAATTTTTCCTCGATTTAAGAGTATTTAAAAAACTTTATGTTCCAAAAATTATGCTCGTGGCATTAAAAACAACGACATTATAATTTTTTTCCATTATTTATATATATATATATTTAGATCTCTCCTATGGCAGCTATGTATATGATAGAGTTATCCGATTTTGATAAAATTTAATCCGAAATTCAATAGCAGTTAGAAAACGCAATCTGAAAGAAATAAAGTCGATCTGATCAAAAAAAAACGGAGTAAGAATTTTGTATTTAATTCTCTCGTATGGGAGCTATCGATATAGTCGGCCGATCTGGCTCGTTCCGACCTATATACTGCGTGCAACAACTAGACAACTTTTGGGAAAGTTTCAGCCAGATAGCTTTAAAACTGAGAGACTAGTTTACATAGAAACCGACAGGAGGACAGACGGACAGACGTACAGACCTATTTGGATTCTGATCGTGATGCTGATCAAGAATATATATACTTTATGGGGTCTAAGGTGTCTCCTCCACTGCGTTGCAAACTTCTGAGTGAAATTATAAGACCCTCTGCTCTGCAAGGGTATGAAAATTGTTATTAGGCGTACTTTTGCACCATGCCTAAATATTCGAATCAAAATGAAATTCACTGCACACACTGCGTAAGCAGAGCCTATTTGGCCTATAGTCGATTAGTTTTGCACTTTGACTACAAATTTATTGAATCACATTGTATTCATTGCGAATAAGTTTCCCACTTTGAACTCAGGTTTTCAGTGAATGTTTATTCTGGTCATTTGTCGTTGTTATGAATTTTACAAGCACTATTATAATCAGCTGTGTGACAGGAGAAGGGGTTGAGCTTAAGAGTTACGAGGGGGATCCAATCCAGTTAATACAGCTCCGACTTCTGCATGACGGCGGTGACCAGCGCCTTGAACGCGTCTTCGATCATGATGATGTGTAGCTGGGCGTCCCGGTACGAGCACAGCTTTGCGCTCTCGGTGAGGGGCATCTGCATGGTGGTCACGCCCAGGGACGACTGGGAGTGCAGGCTGCGGCCGGTGGTCATCAGGATGTTGACGCAGTCGTCGGCCAGGATGGGGAACGTCTCCACGAAGCGCACCATAGCCGGCAGAACATTCCGCAGAAACTTGCACTTGGCCGAGGCTGTCAGCAGGGACAACGTGGTCTGGATCACATTTAGGCAGAACTTGGAAACGCCCAGGCTCTTGGGTATCGAATAGTTGAGGACCAGGTGGGAGGTGAGTTCAATAGTGAAGATCTGTTTGTCCATCTCGGTGACGTTCAGGAACTCGTGGACAAAGTCAATGCAGATGTGCATTGACGGCACACTGGCCACAATCATGGGGATGACGGACTTCGGGTACGTCTGGAAGTGCACCAGTTTGGCCAGCGACGGCTCCGAGATGAAAGCCTGGTGCACGTAGGTCCCAATGATGCCCTGTATCTCGCGCAGCTCTAGACGCGAAACCCGGTCCGAGGCCTTGTTGGCCATGTACTCGAGCACCTCCAGCAAAATGTGCACGGCAGCGCTTTCCTGCGAGGCGATCAGCGTGGTCTTCAGCTCCTCCCGGTCCGCGTCCGTCTGCACCAGGCCGTTCTTATCCAGCACCTGCTTCTGCTGCATGTGCACGTTGAGATAGGTCTTCGAGGCAGCCAAGCTGCCTTTAAGGATGCGCAGCAGGATCATGAGCAAATACGGCGAGCAGAACACCGAGCGGGGGCAACTGATGGGCGAGGAAGCAGAAAGCGATGTTACATACGCCGCGTAAAAGCAATGTGGAACTCAGGGGTACTCACCTCAGCACCTCCATGGGCTCAAGCAAGCTCTCGTTGGCGAAGCTCCTCCGGTTAATCGAGTCCGAGCTGTTGGTGATCGCGCGCAGCGACATGATCCACAAGGTGGTGGGCAGCACGGCGTTCAGGCGAAGCCAGATGTCGTTGTACAGATCCTTGATGTAGCGCGGCACCGACTTGGCGAACACCACCGGCAGGTGCTGCACTAGCTGCTGGCCGTACTGCGCCTGCGTCTCCGGCGGCATCTGAAGCAGCTGCTTGAAGACCCGGATGGCGAGATGCGGCTTCGTCTGGATCGCGGCCAGCGCCCGGTCCAGCTGCTCCGGCTTGAGCTCCCGCTTGCTCACCACCACGGTGGCACTGCCCTGGGCCAGGTTGTGCTCCTCCAGCCAGTCGTCCACCATGCTCAGGTGCGGGTAGTTGGAGATGATCAGGCGCAGCAGGGGGTGGAAAAGCGATAGGTAGTCGTGGTGGTAGTGGTGCGCCTTCTGCAGCAGGTATTTCAGGGGCAGGCCCCCCAAAAAGTTGTTCGAGTACTCCTTCTGCTTGCGTCCACCCAGGGCGCTGAGGTTCATCAGCCGAGTGTCCTCGTACAGCATCAGGTAGTAAATCATCAGCAGCTGGGCAGTGAGCGGGCAGTGCACCTCGATCTGGTTCAGCTCGTCGCTCTCCACCATCGGCGGCAGTTCCTCGGCGAAGAAGGTGAGCTTGGACGTGCTGAACACGTGCAGGATCTCGGCCTCGGTGAAGGGCCTGTGCATGTGGTCGATGTTCACCTTGCCCGTGGGGTTGGGTATTATAAGCGTGTTGACGAACACCTCCACCAGAGCTGGCATCACCGGATGCACCGGCCTCACCGAGCTGCATATCTGCTTGAAGATCCACGACTTAATTGGCACCTTGTGCTTGAGGAAGGTCCTCGACTTCAGCAGCTGGTGGATGCAGTGCACCGGCAGGTAGCCCGGAATGGTCCCGTTTAGGTTAGGCGTGACGGGCACGCGCACCGCGTGCAGGGCCACCACCTGCTCGGTGAACAGGTCCTGCGTGAATAGCTGCTTGATCCGGTTAGTGCTGTTCGGCCGGATGGGTATCTTCATGGCCAGCGTGGAGCAGACCATTTCGCTGATGGCCGAGATCTGGTTGCTGTGGAAGTGGATCGCCAGCAGCAGGAGCATCTCACCCAGCGAGGTGCTGGTGCCAGAGCGCTTGCAGAAGAAGGCATCCTCGCGAATCAGCCACTGAAGCCACTCCACCGCCTTGTTCTCCAGCGGAATGGTGGACACCAGCGAAGGACAGGCGATGAGCATGCACAGTGCCAGCGTCACGAACCGCACTCCCGAGGGCGTGGCCTGCGGACAACTCGTGACCAGCTGGGACAGGGCGTTGATCTCGTCGTCGTTGAACTTCAGCCCACCGATCCCGCGCAGCGCGCAGTACAGTCGCAGCAGCACCGCGCCCTGCAGATTGAAGTCGCGCAGCTCCGCCGCATTGGCCGTCGTCTGGACCACCTTCTGGAGCAGCTCCACTCGCACCAGGTTCAGGGCGTCACCCTTGCGCTTCTGGCTGGAGCGGATGTAGACGGCGAACCAGGAGCGCAGGTTCTGGTCGTTGCCCAGCAGCAGGCCAGTGAGGAAGGCTATCTGTGGGATAGCAAAGTTTAAATTGTTATTGTTTTGCCAAAGGTTCGTGTACGGCCGCGAAACAGAAGAGGATAGCAATATGGCCTCTCTCGAATTGCTTCATACTGAAGGGAAAAAATGAAAATAATGTTTTAACTACAAGGTTTACAACCAGAAAGCTATTTAATTGGTTCTGGGTAAGTTAATAAGAAAAAAGTATATGCTCTACAGAACCAAGTAAATTTGATTAAAAAACCTGCAGTTCGATCTTTATAGATATAACTTTTAAAATTATATTATCGTAACGAATTGCTGCATTTTGACCAAGTGTATGGTATTAAGCTTCATCGAAGCAACAAAATTGAAGCTATGACGTTTTTTCAACTAATTTTGAATAGTTTTCGTCAACCTGTGCGCTGAACACTTTTCAAGGATTAGACGCCCTTAAAACGCTGCCCGATGCTTGCAATGGTTTAGTGGCTTTTTTCATTTTCATCATTTTCCGGTCCGATAATGTAGAGTTTTTATGTTTACCCCTTGTTTTATGTAAAAAAAGGTTAAAAAAAAGACAATTTGATACTTTAAGCTGGAAAAAGTTATACCATGCCACTCAGGGGATAATAATAAAGGTGTTAAAAAAAAAACTGGCCAAATCGGTGAAATTGTGCCAAAATTTCCAATTAAAAGCAAGTGTGCCAATAATTTTGTTCAGGAAGATTCGGCACTTGTTTTCGTTATTTTAATTTTAAAAATTAACTATAAGATGTAAAATATTAAAATAAACTTGGTTGTGTTGTTAATTAATTATATTATGTAAATATATTTTGTTTTATATTAATATCCCCATGTTAAGAGGTCAAAGTTGAACAATCCAACTGTGCCAATAATTATGTTCGTCACTGTGTACATTGTCGAAATTCGTAATTCCAAAGTCGTTAGAAAACTCCATCTGCCAAAAATTATAACTGTATGGTAAAAAACAACGAAGTTATGGTTTTTTCTCAATTATTTGATTTTCCGATATCTCCTATATGAGCTATAGATGTAGTCCGCTGATACATTCTGACTAATATGCACCTGCAATAACTACACATCTTCTGGTAAACTTTCAGAGATATTGCTTTGAAAATTAGGAACTAGTGTGCGCAGAATCAGACAAGTGGACAGGCTGACAGACGTACATGTCTAGATCACCTCAGCTGATGATTTCTTTTCTTAGCCTGCTTTTAAAATTTTGGTAGACAGAAAACAACGAGGGGTGTTTTAAAGATAGGTTTGTTGAGATTGAACAACCTTTACGGTGCCCGACACTACTATTGGTCCCCACGCAAATATTACCCTACTCACCAGATCCTCAGGGTGCTTGAGCGTGAGCTTGAGCATAAACGACGGCACCTTTAGCATTTCCACGCACATGGACCTGTTTGCCAGTGCCTGGGAGGGATTCATCTCGCTGAGCCCCATGAGCAGCATCAACCGGTGCTTGCCGTCGCTGCCGTCCTCGTCACAGTTGGCAATCACATGGGAGACGACGTCGCGATAGCAGTCGGGGAAGTTGGCCACCAGGGCGCAGATGATGCGGTACCCGTTGGGCACGTGGACCAGAGCGTCCGTCAGCTCCAGGATGTTGAGCAGGGAGGGAAGCTCGGCCAGGGCAATGCACAGTATGTCTACCACCTCCTCCAGGTAGATGCCGTCGTCCAGCATCTCCGAATGGGCGGGAGGCTTCTGCTCGGAGACCTGCTGCTGCAGGTTAAAGATCTCCGAAAGCACCACGCGCACCTTGCGCGCAACGTCCGCCCGCTCGAAGCCAAGCGCAATGCCTGACTGGAGACCGAACTCATGCTGCTGGCCCTCAAAAAAGGCGGACTTCTGCCGCGCCTGCAGCTCCTTCTTCAGCTCGTTTTCCAGTTCATGGTAGTTAACCTGTAGGTAGGACACAATGCTGTTCACCACCTCGATGCCGATTAGCACTGCCAGGATCTGTTTGCGGGACTCCATGGACGACTCTGTGTTGTCCAACGGCGACAGCAGGCTCATCCGAACCAACGACGGCAGCACCGGGCGGATCTCCGCCTCCGGGTAGCTGGCCAAAAGGGTGATATCCAGGTTCTGCATGGCGCAGAAAACGCGCGGCGACACATCGTACAACTTAACCGGCATCTCGTCCTCGTCTTGTCCCAACTTGTTGATCCTGGCGGTGCTCGTCCGATGGTCTTGCCGCTATTTGGCCTGGCCGGCGGGGTTTCCGTGCTGGAGATGCCGGCACGGATCTTCTTTATTCTCGACGAGCGGTATGTGAGAAAGGCAATGCCGGAGAATCCGAGAATCCTCTGCAATCCGCATCAAAAAGTCAACACTCGGTGTCAGTGTGCCCAGGTTGCAAGATCCGAAGATATACGTTTTAAAACTGACTAACATAGCTTAATGCAAAATAATTTGTGGGTGTTATATACTGAATATACTGAAAGACATTAATGCCCAGAATGTCAAAAGATAGCCAGATTCAATGCCAGACATCCATTTAATCAAATATTTAAAAATATTAAGCGGTCATTATTAATTAATATTATTAAAATGTTAAATTAAGCAAATAATATTTATTTTGTGATGTCATAATGTTTTTAATAAGCAAAAAAATATGTATATGCAAATTATGTATAAATGATATTTAACCTGCAATAACAACACGACTTTTGAACGAGATTTTTTCAATACTGAAAGACTATTTTGAGTGATGCTGATCAAGAAATATATGTTTGCATACATATATATGTACAAAATTCTGATTTAAATTAATAGTTAAAATAAAATGTTGTTTCTGTCCAGTTTAATTATATTAAGTACTATACTGAGCGTCAACACCAATGGCTTAATCGATTGAAATCATACCAAACATGTTAAGCAATTTTAAGGGCAAAAGTGTACATTTACGTATTATTTTTTAATTTTGTTTCGAATCCTAAGTTTTTTGCTCCCCCTTTTCAAAACATAGTATCTCACATACACACATATGTGTGTAATTGCTAATTGCAGATCTTATAAGTTTAGTAAACACACAAGCTATTTTATAGCCATATCACTGGACACGGCACGATACGGTCACACTGCGCAGTCGGCGTTTTTTAGCGACATCTCGCGCTGGTTCACTTCGTTCACTCGTTCGCAACGCGATGTTTTGAATACATACATTTTTTCCATTCTCGCCAAGTGAAGTTCATCCGCCAGACCGAAGATTTTTAGTCAAACGTGCTAAATCTATGAAATTAACTGTGTTTTATGAATCAATTAGGGCGAGCAGATCTGCAAAATTATCGAGTAGGTAAGTGGAAGACGCCGCAGTGCAGTGAAAACGGCGCGAAAAGCGAGCCGAAGCGGCCAGAAAAATGTGAAATAGACCAACGCCCAAGTGAATAGGCCACGAAAAAGGAGCCACCAATAAAAGCCAGAAGTGGCAAAAGAGAGCGGAGTGCAAAAGTATCTAACGATTGCGAGTGTGTGGGACAGAGAGTGCGGCCGAGAAGTGTGCTAAATATTTTACAGAGTGATTTTGCTACATATGTACATAATAAAAACATCATCGATTAAAATTGCCTGCTAACTCATATATTTTGCCGCTGTCGACGTCGCTGCCGACACCTCTGCCTCTGCTGTCGTTGATGACATCATTCGGTTTTCGGTGAGAGCGCGTAGCGTGCGTGAATGTGTGTGTGCCTCATTACTGTAATCGAATTGGACGTGTGTGGCTCGCATTTTTTTTTTTTTTGTATCTTAGACCAAATGCATAGATGTTTAAGCCAAAATTAAGTCATAGAACAAAACAAAACAGTGCAGTGAAAAGGAGCGCAAGCCTTAAGTAACACTTGCGTCAGTTGGTGATAAAAACGAAACCCACGGCTATCGCCTAATCGGAGATATATATATGTATATCAAGACATTTGTGTGTTTGTGAGTTTATGAAATACAAGCGGTCCGCTCTTTTCTTCCTCATAGATACGAATACGCCTATGCACTTGGCTGAAATACAGTTACGTGCTCACCAACACTAAAAATAGGCAACACACTCCCCACTCACTTTGCCCCACCGCCTTCCCCCCTTATACCACCCCTCAGAGGTCACGAGTTGAAGTTTCTTTTCGTGAAAAGAGAACACTTCAATTCACCAATACCCAGGCGCATGGAGTGAAAACTCATAAATCCATATAGCTGCACTTGCTCAACGTGTGTTTGTTTGTTTGCGTTTCACCTTGTTGTTGTTTGTGACAAATCACACACGTACAGTTGTAAACACAACACACAAACACATATATACGTATGGCAACCGATTGATCGCCGAAAACTCATTAACTTGGTCATAAATGGCAGGGAAAACTGGTTTTCCCTTAACTGAACTCAATTTTGGTGGTGGTTTTATATCCAAGTGTCCAAAGTTGAACTCTTGGCCTGTTTAATTGAACTCACAGTTGCACACACATCCATATCCACGCCCCGCTCTCTTTCGGTCTCTCTCTCTCTCTGTGATGAACTCACTCAAAACAAGAGGATCGGCCATCATAATTAAGTCTTGAAAGCACTAACAATCAAAGGGGGTGTGCAATGGGCACAGAGCTAGCTTGCGAGAGCGACTTATGCAGTTTCCACCCTCGCTTCTCTCCTTGTCGCTCCCACTTCTATTTCAAATGCACCACCTTTCAGATACATAGATACACTCGCGCGCTCTGTCGCTCCAGTTTTGTTGTTTTTCGCTCTCGCTCTCTCAATGTTTTAAGCTTCGTTTTAATAAAAATATTACGTAATACGAAGATAGAAGCTGCGTGTGTGCGTGTGCTGATTTTGCTTTTGTTTGTTTTACCAATTCTCGTACTATGGTTGTTATTGTTGTGGTGGTGCTCTCATAAAATTAGTACAAATGGAATTAGTAGCTTAATTGTGGAGAAAAAAGAAGAAGAGTAGGAGGATAATTAAAGGGGTAATAGACAACTCATAGGTTTTGTTGTTGTGTGCGTAGAAGGGAATGACCCCAGAACCTGTGCAAATGCGAATGGGAATAAAGGTCAAAGGACATTAGCACAAAAACACACTGTTATACACAGCCGAGAAAAAGTTCCCTTTTATCAGTTTTCCCATTTTTGACCTAGGTCGGCTCTGTTGTTATGTTTTTTTGTGTACTATACTTGAAAAATAAAAATAAACAGTTTAATTAAACGAATTATATTGTGTGTGTCAAACAATGAAGCTCTCGAAACCTAGATTTAAAATTTACAAGAACTTGATTAAAAATATTACAAAAAGTACACTATAAATGTGTATTGATTTTTCGCTACTAAAATTTAAAGGAATCAATGAAACAAATTTAAAGAGTTGAGTATCATAACAAAAATTTAATTTTAATTTAAAAGGATGTTATCAATAGAAATTAGATTAAAAATAATTTTAATGGGGTAACCCATTTAAGCCAGAGTAAGAAATCTGAAATAACTATTGAATTAATAATTAATATGAATAAAGCGTAACTGCAATGACGATTAATTTCAGATTTATACCCTTAAAGTGTTAAACTAAAATGTAGTTCTACCTACTTTGTTTTCCTTATTTAAAATGTGAAAGCCGGGAGAAAGTACAGCGACGAGCAAACAAAAATAACATTTAACGGAAAAGTCCGGCCGAGTACTTGGCTCATTTTCACTGCAGCCCAAAAGCTTGCAAAAGTGTGAAAAGCGCTGCGATGTGTGAAACTGAATGGATTTTCGAGGGCCGTCCACCGTGTGAATAGGTCACATAATTACATATCGCTGGCTACGTCGATAAAGCGAAAATACCAGCAAACATACATACATACATACATACATACGTGCTCATGCAAATGGGTAAAAACATACACATTAAAAAAAAATTGTGATGAAAATGGAAGCTAGTCCTATCATGGTTTATTTAAGTGTGTGATGTTTACCTACAGTTGAGGTCATAAAGATAGTAAAGCCAAAAAGGCAGAGTTAAAACGTTAGTTATTCACCGTCAAATAATGATTCGGTTTTGAGTTCACAATAAATAATTAATTTGTAATTTTATTTTAGACATAAGATTACTTTAAGGGACAAAAATTACTATTTAATTTAATGTGAATATTATCACACGACAGATACAAGCTTGATAAGGGTTCCCAGAGAACCATTTGAGTCTGAATTACCAATTAAATGTCAATTAAATACGATAACCTCTGGTGCATTCAAAACTAAACGCCCGAACGAATTAAACCCGCATCTAAAAGAAAGCAATCCTCTAATAATTAGCTACTTGTTATATGTACATATATATAGTAGTTATAAATTTTGGTCGCGCCACCGACTGAGCTATATATATGTACATAAATACTATATTTCGTTTTGTGTGCTGTTTCGATGGTTTTTGTGAATTGAATTTCCTGCAATTTCACGGTTTTCCATTTGAATCCGGTTGGGGGAGAGCCCCCCAGTTTTATGTTTCCATTTTTTTTTTCGGCCACGGAGTGATGTAATCGCGTTAGTCGCAATTGCGATCGGACATTCTAGTGGTGACCCCGGCGACCCGCGTGACGCCATCCCAACCAAGCCCAAAAGTGAAACGAAATGAACGAAATGAATCACCAACGAAATGAATCGCTGCTGTCAACTAAACTCTAACCTAACCGATTTTCCCAACGCCTTTTCCAGCGATTCTCTTCTGAAGGCAACACATTCGGTTTGGACTTAAAGGATAGACTCGAGGAAAAAACGACGACGAACGGGGAGTGGCGAGCTCCCGTGAAACGAAACGAAACACCAGACACCAAACACCAGACATCAGAAGACACCCTCCTAGACAGATAGACGGAGAGGCACTAGGAACTACAACCGAACACGATAGCACTGTGGAAACCGTAGGTCCCCATAGGCCATGACGACGGACATTTCGATTGTTCGCTGGGATCCCAGCCAGGGTCCTGGCAACGAGTACATCGACGAGTACGAGTACGATGGCGGCAACTCGAGCTCGCGGCTGTTCGAGCGCTCCAGGATCAAGGCGCTGGCCGAGGAGCGCGAGAGCGTACAGAAGAAGACCTTCACCAAGTGGGTGAACTCGCACCTGTGCCGCGTTAACTGCCGCATCGCCGACCTGTACGTGGACATGCGGGACGGCAAGCACCTGATCAAGCTGCTGGAGGTGCTCTCCGGCGAGCGCCTGCCCAAGCCCACCAAGGGCAAGATGCGCATTCACTGCCTGGAGAACGTGGACAAGGCGCTGCAGTTCCTGCGCGAGCAGCGCGTCCACCTGGAGAACATCGGCTCCCATGACATTGTCGACGGCAACGCTTCCCTCAACCTGGGCCTGATTTGGACCATCATCCTGCGCTTCCAGATCCAAGACATCACCATCGAGGAGGTGGACAACAAGGAGACCAAGTCGGCCAAGGACGCCCTGCTGCTCTGGTGCCAGATGAAGACCGCCGGCTACCACAACGTGAACGTGCGCAACTTCACCACCTCGTGGCGCGACGGCCTGGCCTTCAACGCCATCATTCACAAACACCGTCCGGACCTGGTGCAGTTCGAGAAGCTCTCGAAGACGAACGCCATGCACAACCTGAACAACGCCTTCGACGTGGCCGAGGACAAGCTCGGCCTTGCCACGCTCCTCGACGCCGAGGACGTGTTCGTGGAGCACCCGGACGAGAAGTCGATCATCACGTACGTGGTCACCTACTACCACTACTTCAGCAAGCTGAAGCAGGAGACGGTCCAGGGCAAGCGCATCGGCAAGGTGGTGGGCATTGCCATGGAGAACGACAAGATGGTCCACGACTACGAGCACTTCACCAGCGACCTGCTCAAGTGGATCGAGACCACCATCCAGTCGCTGGGCGAGCGCGAGTTCGAGAACTCGCTCGCCGGCGTCCAGGGCCAGCTGGCGCAGTTCTCCAACTACCGCACCATCGAGAAGCCGCCCAAGTTCGTGGAGAAGGGCAACCTGGAGGTGCTTCTCTTCACCCTGCAGTCCAAGATGCGGGCCAACAACCAGAAGCCCTACACGCCCAAGGAGGGCAAGATGATCTCGGACATCAACAAGGCCTGGGAGCGGCTCGAGAAGGCCGAGCACGAGCGCGAGTTGGCCCTGCGCGAGGAGCTCATCCGGCAGGAGAAGCTGGAGCAGCTGGCCGCCCGCTTCGACCGCAAGGCGTCCATGCGCGAGACCTGGCTGTCGGAGAACCAGCGGCTGGTCAGCCAGGACAACTTCGGCTTCGACCTGGCGGCCGTGGAGGCGGCGGCCAAGAAGCACGAGGCCATCGAGACGGACATATTCGCGTACGAAGAGCGCGTCCAGGCGGTGGTGGCCGTCTGCGATGAGCTGGAGTCGGAGCGCTACCACGACGTGAAGCGCATCCTGCTGCGCAAGGACAACGTGATGCGCCTGTGGACCTATCTGCTGGAGCTGCTGAGGGCGCGCCGCATGCGGCTGGAGATCTCGCTGCAGCTGCAGCAGAACTTCCAGGAGATGCTCTACATCCTGGACAACATGGAGGAGATCAAGCAGCTGCTGATGACCGACGACTACGGCAAGCACCTGATGGGCGTCGAGGACCTGCTGCAGAAGCACTCGCTCGTCGAGGCCGACATCAACATCCTGGGCGAGCGCGTCAAGGTGGTGGTGCAGAACTCGCAGAAGTTCCTCAGCGACGACCCGGAGTCGTACAAGCCCTGCGACCCCGAGATCATCGTCTCGCGCGTCCAGCAGCTGGAGGACGCCTACGCGGAGTTGGTCCGCCTGGCCGTCGAGCGACGCAGCCGCCTGGAGGAGAGCCGCAAGCTCTGGCAGTTCTACTGGGACACCGCCGACGAGGAGAACTGGATCAAGGAGAAGGAGCAGATCGTCTCCACCGACGAGGTGGGCCACGACCTGACCACCGTCAACCTGATGCTCAGCAAGCACAAGGCCCTCGAGTCGGAGATCACCTCGCACGATCCCCAGCTGCAGAACGTGGCCAAGGTCGGCTCGGAGCTGATCACCGAGGGCCACTTCGGGGCGGACCGCATCAAGGACCGCTTGAAGGAGATCCTCTCCAAGTGGGACCACCTGCTGGACCTTACCAAGTACCGGCGCCAGCGGCTGGAGAACGCCGTCGAGTACTTCCAGCTGTTCGCCGACGCCGACGACGTGGACAACTGGATGCTGGACACGTTGCGCATTGTCTCCAGCGAGGACGTCGGCCGCGACGAGGCCAACGTGCAGTCGCTGCTCAAGAAGCACAAGGACGTCGCCGATGAGCTGAAGAACTACGCCGAGGTGATCGACGCCCTGCACAAGCAGGCGGAGAGCCTCAAGCTCAACGAGGCGGAGAAAGCGAACGTGGACAAGCGGCTGGAGGCGATCGACAACCGGTACAAGGAGCTCACCGAGCTGGCCAAGCTGCGCAAGCAGCGCCTCCTCGACGCCCTCAGCCTGTACAAGCTCATGTCGGAGGCCGACGGCGTGGAGCAGTGGATCAAGGAGAAGACCAAGATGCTGGACACGATGACCCCGGGCAAGGACATCGAGGACGTGGAGATCATGAAGCACCGCTTCGAGGGCTTCGACAAGGAGATGAACGCGAACGCGTCCCGCGTGGCCGTGGTTAACCAGCTGGCCCGCCAGCTCCTCCACGTCGAGCACCCGAACTCCGACGAGATCCTGGAGCGACAGAACCACCTCAACCAGGAGTGGTCGACGCTGCGCGAGAAGGCCGAGGCGAAGATGGACGACCTGAAGTCCGCGCACGGCGTCCAGACCTTCTACATCGAGTGCCGCGAGACGATCTCGTGGATCGAGGACAAGAAGCGCATCCTCACCGAGACCGACAGCCTGGAGATGGACCTCACTGGCGTGATGACCCTACAGCGACGCCTCAGCGGCATGGACCGCGACCTGGCCGCCATCCAGGCGAAGCTGTCGAGCCTGGAGCGCGAGGCGAACAGCATCGAGGACGAGCACCCGGAGGAGGCGAAGATCATCCGCGAGCGCATCGCCCAGATCGAGTTGATCTGGGAGCAGCTGACACAGATGCTCAAGGAGCGCGACTCGAAGCTGGAGGAGGCCGGCGACCTGCACCGCTTCCTGCGCGACCTCGACCACTTCCAGACCTGGCTGACCAAGACCCAGACGGACGTGGCCTCCGAGGACACGCCCACCTCGCTGCCGGAGGCCGAGAAGCTGCTCAACCAGCACCAGTCGATCCGCGAGGAGATCGACAACTACACGGAGGACTACAAGAACATGATGGAGTACGGCGAGCGGCTGACCTCCGAGGGCAGCACCTCGGACGACCCGCAGTACATGTTCCTGCGCGAGCGACTCAACGCCCTGAAGGACGGCTGGGAGGAGCTGCACCAGATGTGGGAGAACCGGCAGGTGCTGCTCTCGCAGAGCCTCGACCAGCAGCTGTTCAACCGCGACGCCCGCCAGACGGAAGTGCTGCTCAGCCAGCAGGAGCACTTCCTCAGCAAGGACGACACGCCGGTGAACCTCGAGCAGGCCGAGAACCAGCTGAAGCGCCACGAGGCCTTCCTCACCACCATGGAGGCCAACGACGACAAGATCAACACGCTGCTCCAGGTGGCCGACACGCTGGTGGAGAAGGACCACTTCGACGCGGAGAAGATCGGCAAGCGGGCGGAGAACATCACCGGGCGGCGGGACGACAACCGAAAGCGCGCCCTGGACCAGCACGAGAAGCTGAAGAACCAGGTGAAGCTGCACGAGTTCCTGCAGGACCTCGAGGAGCTGGCCGAGTGGGTGCAGGAGAAGTACGCCACCTCGCAGGACGAGTCGTACAGGAGCGCCAAGACCATACACTCGAAGTGGACGCGCCACCAGGCCTTCGAGGCGGAGATCGCCGCCAACAAGGAGCGCCTCTTCGAGGCGGAGAAGTCCGCCCAGGAGCTCTCGAAGGAGAAGCCCGAGTTCAAGGACGTGATCGAGCCGAAGCTCAAGGAGCTGGCCAAGCAGTTCGACGACCTGGAAGTGCACACCAAGGAGAAGGGCGCCATGCTGTTCGACGCCAATCGCGAGGTGCTCGTCCAGCAGACCTGCGACGACATCGACTCGTACATCACCGATCTGGAGAAGCAGATCGTCAGCGGTGACACCGCCAACGACCTGACCTCCGTGAACATCCTGATGCAGAAGCAGCAGGTCATCCAGACCCAGATGGCCGTGAAGGCCCGCCAGGTGGAGGAGATCGACAAGCAGACCGAGTACCTGCAGAAGACGGTGCCCGAGGAGAAGATCGAGCCGATCGTCGTGAAGAAGACCGCCGTGCTGGAGCGCTTCGAGAAGATCAAGGCGCCGCTGCTGGAGCGCCAAAAGGCACTCGAGAAGAAGAAGGAGGCCTTCCAGTTCTGCCGCGATGTCGAGGACGAGAAGCTCTGGATCGACGAGAAGCTGCCGGTGGCCAACTCGCCCGATTATGGCAACTCGCTCTTCAACGTGCACGTCCTCAAGAAGAAGAACCAGTCGCTGGCCACGGAGATCGACAACCACGAGCCGCGCATCAACGCCATCTGCAACAACGGCCGCAAGCTGATCGACGAGGGCCACGAGGACGCCAAGAAGTTCGAGGCGCTGATCAGCGACCTCACCCAGAAGTGGCAGGAGCTGAAGGACGCCATCGAGAGCCGTCGCAAGCACCTGCTGGAGTCCGAGAAGGTGCAGCAGTACTTCTTCGACGCCCAGGAGGCCGAGTCCTGGATGAGCGAGCAGGAGCTCTACATGATGGTCGAGGACCGCGGCAAGGACGAGATCAGCGCCCAGAACCTGATGAAGAAGCACGAGAACCTGGAGCAGTCCGTGGAGGACTACGCCAACACCATCCGCCAGCTGGGCGAGGTGGCGCGCCAGTTCAGCGGCGACGACATCTCCTCCGGCGACGCCGTCGCCGTCAAGCAGTCCCAGCTGGACAAGCTGTACGCCGGGCTGAAGGACCTGGCCGGCGAGCGGAGGGCCCGCCTCAACGAGGCCCTGCAGCTGTTCATGCTGAGCCGCGAGGTCGACGACCTGGAGCAGTGGATCACCGACCGCGAGGTGGTGGCCGGCTCCCAGGAGCTGGGCCAGGACTTCGACCACGTCACCCTGCTGTCGGAGCGCTTCAACGAGTTCGCCCGCGACACGGAGGCCGTGGGCGGGGAGCGCGTGGCCAAGGTGAACGGCATCGCCGACAACCTCATCCAGGCCGGGCACTCCGACTCCGCCACGATCGCCGAGTGGAAGGACAACCTGAACGAGTCGTGGCAGGACCTGCTGGAGCTCATCGAGACGCGCACCCAGATGCTGGCCGCCTCCCGCGAGCTGCACAAGTTCTTCCACGACTGCAAGGACGTGCTGGGCCGCATCCTCGAGAAGCAGCACGGCGTCTCCGACGAGCTGGGCCGCGACGCCGGCTCCGTGTCGACGCTGCAGCGCAAGCACTACAACTTCCTGCAGGACCTCACCACGCTCTACTCCCAGGTGCAGCAGATCCAGGAGGAGTCGGCCAAGCTGCAGGACGCGTACGCCGGCGAGAAGGCCAAGGAGATCACCAACCGGGAGCAGGAGGTGCTGCACGCCTGGGACAATCTGCAGGCGATGTGCGACGCCCGCAAGCAGAAGCTGGCCGACACCGGCGACCTGTTCCGCTTCTTCAACATGGTGCGCATCCTGATGATCTGGATGGAGGACCTCGTCCGCCAGATGAACACCTCGGAGAAGCCGCGCGACGTGTCCGGCGTGGAGCTGCTGATGAACAACCACCAGAGCCTCAAGGCCGAGATCGACACGCGGGAGGACAACTTCGGGGCCTGCATCTCGCTGGGCAAGGAGCTGCTCACCCGCAACCACTACGCCTCCGCCGACATCAAGGATCGCCTGCTCTCGCTGAGCAACAGCCGCAATGCTCTGCTCCGCCGCTGGGAGGAGCGCTGGGAGAACCTCCAGCTGAGTAAGTACAACCTCTTTTGTGGTCCTCTGTGATTAACATAACTGATCCCCCCGTCCGTCCACTCCATTCCGAACAGTCCTGGAGGTGTACCAGTTCGCCAGAGACGCTGCCGTGGCCGAGGCCTGGCTGATCGCCCAGGAGCCTTACCTGCTCTCCTCGGAGCTGGGCCACACAATCGACGAGGTGGAGAACCTGATCAAGAAGCACGAGGCCTTTGAGAAATCCGCAGCCGCCCAAGAGGAGCGCTTCAGTGCTCTTGAGCGTTTGACAACAGTAAGTGTTCTTTGCGGCGGGAACACGTATAACGTATATTACGTTCACTTCGCTTTCAGTTTGAGCTTAAGGAGATGAAGAGGCGCCAGGAGCTGGCGGAGGAGGCCGAGCGACAGCGCATCAAGGAGGAGCAGGAGGCCAAGGCCGCCTCGGAGGCGGCGGAACAGGCCAAGCGAGAGGCTGAGCGGCGCGACGACGTGGACGTTGGAGCCTCGCACGACGATTCAGGTAAGCGGCTTACCCATCTTAACCATCTTAAGTGGAATATAGAACATGGGATTGTTGAAAATACTGGGAACACTACACGAAAAATGCCCTTAAAACTGAGCATTTGGTCCCTCATTTTGTGCACTGCACGAGGAGTATGTTCAACAATACCATATCATAGTCCAGCATCCCTCCCCCAATTCCATTTCCATTTGCATTTCCGCATCCAAAGCCAAACCCACATCCATATCCACATCCCCGTTCCTCCCAGCCGCACTGTCACTGTCAACTTGCCCGTGTCCTCGTCAAGATAGCAATCAAGATCCCGCCTCCAAGACCAAGACCCAGACCAAGACCAAGACCAAGTCTCCGAGTCCAATCAAATAAGACAATTTATCTCTAAACGTTCTCTGTCATTCACTCATGCCTACTAAACCAAACTCAAACAAACTCACCCTGCCACGGATTAACCAACCAACTAACCAATCAACCCGTGAATTAACCCGTGAAGCCGCCAAAGACACGGCCGTCGAGTTCGAGCGCGTTGTCGAGATCCAAACAGGTATAACCGCACGTAAGCTAGGCGCAGACCAGCATCTGGTATCTGGCATCTGGCATCTGGCACACGTGGTCCCATTGGAGTTACTCATTCGTTTGTGTTTGTGTTTTAATTTCTTTGGTTGTTGCCCCCTGCGATTCGGAACTGCAAACTAATCCCATTACGTGTGCTCCCCAGAACGAGGCGCAACTCCAGCCGCCGGCGAGGGTCACGAGGGCTACGTGACACGGAAGCACGAGTGGGACTCGACCACTAAGAAGGCCTCCAACCGATCCTGGGACAAGGTAAGCTTGAATCCTGGCTTCACCACATAAGCTTCAATTTGAACCTATGGCTCACACAAATGTGTGTTTCTTTCACAGGTTTACATGGCTGCCCGGGCCGGACGCATTTCGTTCTACAAAGATCAGAAGGGTTACAAGAGTAATCCCGAATTGACCTTCCGCGGCGAGCCCAGCTACGACCTGCAGAACGCTGCCATTGAGATTGCCAGTGACTACACCAAGAAGAAGCACGTGCTGCGAGTCAAGTGAGTAGAGCCAGAGATTTGCCAGCTCAGACTGAAACTAACGAGACTTCCTTCCCCGACGACCTGCAGGCTCGCCAACGGCGCCTTGTTCTTGCTGCAGGCCCACGACGACACCGAGATGTCCCAGTGGGTGACCTCCCTGAAAGCCCAGAGCGACTCGACGGCGGTGGCCGCCAGCAGATCCCAGACCCTGCCAGCCACCTCACAAAAGGACGAACCAAAGCGCAGATCGTTTTTTACTTTAAAGAAAAAGTAAACTAACACCCGTAAGGCCGTAAACCATAGGCAAGAGCAGCTAATTAAAACAAAACAAAACAATGACGAGGAATGATATAATACAAAACGACAAAAATTATACAGCAAAAATTAAGAGGAAGCAAATATATATTTTTTTTTCATATATTTAAACTTATTTCGTAATGAGAAAAAAACAAAAACCGACAAAAACTTGCAAGAGAAAAACGAGCAAACGTAAACAATTATTATGCTTATCAAATTTGCACGATAAATACTGCTATTATGATTAAACGTATGTATCTTATTTATTTAAACAAATACAAAGTAATATAAAGATAAAAAAATACAAAAACCACAAAAATTTGAGGAAACCAACTCGTGTATGCATTTCAATGTATTCGATAAATAAACGAAATATTCCTTTAAAGTACACCAATTGCCGACGAATTGATCAGTTATCGTCGCTCTCGTTTGTGGCAAACGAAGTTCGGTATCCAGAATGGAGGTCACTCGACTTGGTTCCAAAGATTACAAGTTGAAGTGGAGTCGAGGTGCCTAATGGTGCATCGGGAAGCAAGTGGAAGCAAGCCAGTGGCGGCTACGAACTCTTCTTGGCGGTCCTCGGGGTGATCAGCAGTTTGGTTAGCTTGTTGAAGGGGATCTCGAAGAGGAGCGTCATCACAATGGCCATCACGTAGCAGATCGCCGAGTAGGATATGGTAAACAGGAGCTGAATTAAGCGGGAGATATAGTATAGCAGTTATGCGGTTACACCGAAAGGTATACAGTTCCTTCATAATCTTAATGCCATGTAGGAGCCATGGGAATCGATAATAGTAATTATGGGTTGGGTAAAGAAACTATGCTAATATTATAACTAGAAGGGAACTGTACTTCAAGGAGCACTATACTAGTATAATACTATATACTCGTACTATACTATATATCGGTATCAACCAATTAAGGAATCTGTACTCCTACGAACACCATATGTACTCGAATGGTTGACAGACTTACCGTGATGGTGTTGTCCGGCAGGACCTCGCTGCTGAAGGTGTGGTAAAAGTGGATGATGACAATGGGGTTCAGCAGGTAGATGGCGTAGGTGAACCGGCTGATGCGCTGCAGCGCCTCCGACTGCAGCACGTCCAGGAGCCAGCGGGTGGGGGCGCAGCAGTCGCCGTGATCCGACCTGGAGCCGCAGACGATGAGGTGGCCGGCCAAGGTGGTGACCAGCAGCCGCATCACGACGTACATGGGGCCGATGGGAGGCAGCCGGTCGCCGGTCATCTGGCGCAGCACCCAGCCGATGGCCAGGGCGGAGGCCAGCTTGTCCCAGGGGCTCGGCAGGAGCTGCTCGACGGGCGAGGCCAGGCCCCTCACCTGGCTGTGGGCGAAGGCGCCGCCCACCAGGTAGGCCTTCATGCGGACGAGGGGACTCGTGTAGGTCCACTGGTTGGTGGCGTACAGCTCGTCGAAGCGGTAGTCCGTGCCCCGGAGCTGCATGACGAGCACCGCGCCGAGCGTGCCCCCCACCAGCAGCAGGTAGGTGGTCCAGCGGACGGCGCGCGGGTGCTTGGTCTGCGCGAAGAGCAGGAGCGTGGCGAGCATGTGCAGCTGCATGTCGCAGGCCAGCGACCAGGTCCACGAGCCGCACATCTCCGGGAGGGGGAACAGGTTCTGCATGAAGAGCACGTTCCACAGCCCGTGGCGCCGGCACAGCTCGTCCTGGGGATCGGCGATCTGCCGCACGGACACCTGCCGCTGGTACTCCACCAGCACCACGCCGCCCAGGATGACCACGAACTGCAGCGGCGCCAGGCGGCAGTAGCGGTGGACGAACTGTCCCAGGAGGCGGCGCCCGTTGCCGTGGACTCCGTCTCCGGCAATCTCCTGCTGCCGCTGCTCGTCCTTCAAGAAGTTCTGGACTGTCAGGTACCCGCTGCGATCGTGGACGAGACTTTTGGTTACTGGTGCTTGGGTGTTTGGGTGTTTGGGTTCGGAAGGTGCCACTGAGAAGTCCCCGACCTACTGAGCACTACAAGACCGCTTTTGGCTCAAGAAGCTGAAGAAGCCGCGGTTCTTATGCGAGTCCCTCGTATATTAACACAGAAAGTCTATACATAATATTATCTATCAGGCATCAGGATCAGATCTTGGTGCAGCTATCAATGAATCTGTGTATGTATTCCTTACTCATTTGTCTCCGCGGTGCATATGAAACTCTAGTTTAGAGTTAAGTTCAAGTTGATTGATTCGAAAACGAGTACAAACTTATAAACTCTCCAGATTACAGAGACTTATTGAGCAGTACACGAAGTACAACAGAAACCTAAACAACGTGAAAATGCAAATATTACCGCACATATTTAGCTACATTTTCAGAAGAAAAATATTACGAAACTAGATTGGTAGGAGTATTGAAAAAAACATTTCCCCATAAAGTTCGAAATTCAATTAAAACAGCTATGAGTTTTTGAATTAAATCTACATTTCACTTCAGTTTTCCGGAATGGTGTTGTATAACACAACATCATTTTATCGAAGTCTCTAGGGATATAGAACCATTCTCAGTCCAATCTGAAAATGTGCATTACAAGTCTATGGCATAACGTCTAAGTCCAATCTGAACAAAATACGCATAGCGCAAAGCAAGATTTTAAGATCGATTTGTACTGCCCCCTGGTTCATGAGAACCAGAGATATTGAAAGAGATCTCAAAATCCCAAAGATTGGCGATGTTTGTCGAACGCATGCTGAAGACAATTTCAGACGCCTTGGCTCGCATCCTAACTCCCTGGCGATGAGGCCAACTAGGAGACCAACGAGAAGAAGACTCAAAAGATACCACCTACATGACCTTCCATTAATATATATTTAATACCCTTGAAGACTGATCTAATTAAATTACACACGAATAGAATTAATGTATAATCTTGTACCATCCCTTTGTTAACCCCTATATTTAAAACCTGCTCAAGCTGCCACATAGGTAGCAATATACCCGTTAAATAATAAATATGCACTTTTTACTTTTTTACTGAAAAAAAGGGATATAGAACCATTGGAAACAGTTCTAGAAGTATGCTTCAAAAACGGAAACGGAAAGTATCTCGCTGTCTCCGAAGACAGATTGTGGCGTGAATTCGCAAGCCTTTCCAAGCGGTTTTACTATAGATCTCTGCATGTGACACCCGATGTTTGAGGATGCTTGAACACTGACTAGTTTTTGTACTGAGTAAGCACCTGCCCGTTCAGAGCTCCCCTGCCCCTGAGGGGCGTCCTCACCTGACCACGAAGAAGATCTCCACCATGCTGGGCCAGTAGGAGTGTCGAATGAACATGGAGCCCGCCTTGCTGAGCATCTCGCCCGAGGGGTCCACGGAGGCGTACTTGTACCAGACCACGTGAAAGCCGATCAGGGCGAAGGCGGTGATCACCCGCAGCCCGTTGATGACCCGGTTCTCCTGGCCGGGACTGGCCGGCTGCCAGGCCAGCTGCCAGTTGCTGGTCACGTCGAAGCAGGCCAGGATGCGGGAGTGCCGGCCCAGGCCGATCGAGGCCGCGGCGGTCAGCAGCAGGGTTCCGCCCGCCACCAGGGCGAACAGCCGCACAGCTCCGCTCTGGAAGAAGTGCGGCTCCAGCTGCGGCTTCTTGGCGTAGGCCAGCTGGGCGTCCATCTCCCAGCTGCGGAAGGTGCTCCCGGCGGCCAGGGACCTGCGGACGAGGCGCTCCACCTCCGGGACGTCGCAGCTCCGCGGCAGACAGAGCCCGACGTGCAGCAGGGGCCTCCGCCTGAAGGACACCTGCAGCTGCCACGGCGAGTTGGACTCGATGTAGGCCACCACGTAGTCGAAGGCGAAGGGCGACACGTCGCGCAGCAGATGGCGACTCCCGGCGGTCATGTCCTGGAGCACCGGCTGGTGAACTGCGCCGCAGGTGAACCGGCTGCCCAGCCACGAATTCTGGCCCATCATGAAGTTGGAGAAGCCCTCGCCGGAGGCATCCAGAGCTGGCGAATTAAACTTGATTTTTAAAATACGTAGTCCAAACTCTGTATGTAACAAATTCACTTTAGCTGAATTTTACATTTACATTTACATTTTAATTATACATCGGCATTCCTTGCGAAATGAAGCAATCCATTATGTTAATTGCTATATAGTAGGCAATATACGAGTATGTCATTCAAAATAGCAAAAGAGTCGTTTATCATACCATTAAGTGCTGCTCTTAATTTCAATTTTAAGCCCAAACTTTAATTCAATTTATTATAAAATTATGGTATATGGTATGTAATTTACATTTTACATTTATGGTATACTTGGTTTTATTTGACATTTATAACTTTGCAGAGGACTCTATATCGGATTGCTATAACTTGTAGTTGCTATAGAATAGACTGAAATCTCTATAAGAAAATAATGAAGTAAAGATTATAACCTCGTTGTTTTTTTTGCAACGACTCTTAAAGTACAAAAAAACATGAAAGATACTATAGCTGATATAGTAAGACTAACAAATGTAATGGAATATTCCATATAACTGAAGAAGTACACACATACAGTACACCATGTAGTTGGACTAACAAACGGAAACCATTTTAAATAGAACTTGTGCAACAAGTTAAATATCACATCTTGTTATAGCTTTGGAAATCACACAAGGTGTGGTGAGTCATTCAGCTTGTCCTTTCGCACTTACCCTTCAGCGCCCAGGACTGTCGGCTCTCCCAGGCACTTCCCAGTTCCACCAGCTGCTCCTCGCACGCGGACAAGGTGGCATTTTGATGTCGGGGAACCATTCGCACGAGGTCCTTTAGCAGGGATCTTGATTCACATCCACCATCATCCGCGAACACGGCGAGTACTTGGGCCAGAAGCAAAAGGATGAGCATGATTGCGATCGGCGGATTGGTTGTTTGGCGGATCGTCAGATCACCTCAGTGTGCCTCCACAGACGAGGCGCAACTGGCTCGGTGTCTCGGATGAATCAGATTCTATACAACCCGCACAACCCTGCTTACTTAAGCCCCAATGATCCGTGACGATCTCCAAGATACGAACAGTCTTTTTTATGGTCTTGAGCTCGTCTCTACTTGGCATGGATGCGAAAACGCTAGACTTCCCGACTGAGGTTTACGCAGCAGAAACATCCAATTCGAACAGCTTAAATGCCTAAAGTTACAACCCGAAAATAAACTCACTCATTACTCGGAAATTAATGCTTATACCCTTGCAGAGGGTATTATAATTCTGGTCAGAGTTTTGCAGCGCAGTGAGGTAAACGGAAGTATATAAATTCTTGATCTGCATTGCCATCTGAATTTATATACCCATGTGCATCTGTTTGTTTGTCCGACTGTCTGTTTTCATCTAAACTATATTCTATAGCTGACAAGAAAAGATTGAATAATTTATATATAATTTGAATAAAACCAAAACAAAATCAGACGACTATACCATATAGCTGTCATAGGTTGGAATTATAGAAAATTAATACCAAAATCGTCAGATCATTCTGCTCGACATTAAGCAATTCGTTCCGATAATAGAATAAAAAAGTAGATATTAAAAAAGTGATTTCCATATAGATCGAACTACCATATATGGTAAAGCTTTCATAAAATTATAGATGAACGCTGACGTTGTAAAGATTGTTGTAAAGACAATAGGAAACAAGAAAGGAAGCTAGCTTCGGCAAGCCGAAGCTTATATACCCTTGCAGTCATCAAATATTTCGAACAAAATACATAAAGGCAAAACAACATCTAAGCTTTCTATTCATTTTCCATATTTTCGACTAATGTTCATGAGTCAGCTATACGATATAGCTGTCCGATTTTGATCAAATTTAATTCGTAATTCAAGAGTCGCTAGAAAACTTTATATTCCAAAAAGCATGCTTGTCTGATGAAAAACAACGAAGTTATTATTTTATTTCTGTTATTTCTATATAGATTTTTCGATCTTTCCTACGGCAGCTATATGATATAGTTGTCTGATTTTTATGAAATTTTTGTCTCGGTTCAAAGGTAGTTAAAAAATTTGATATTGTAAAAATCATGCTCGTGAAATAAAAAGCATAATTATAATTTTTTTGCCCTTATTTCTATATATATTTTTCGATCTCTCCTATGGCAGTATATGATAGAGTTATCCGATTTTGATAAAATTTAATCCGAAATACGATAGTGGTTAAAAACTCCATCTGAAAGAAATCAAGTCGATCCGATCAAAAACAACGGACCGATAATTTTTTTTCAATCTCTCGTATGGGAGCTATCCGATATAGTCGGCCGATCCGGTCCGTTCCGACTTATATACTGCGTGCAATAACTACACAATTTTTTAAGCAAGATAGCGTTAAAACTGAGAGACTAGTTTGCGTAGAAACGAACAGACGGACAGACGGACAGACGTTTTTCAATTCAGATGGTGATGCTGATCAAGAATATATATACTTCATGGGGTCTGAGGTGTCTCCTTCACTGCGTTGCAAACTTCTGACTGAAATTATAATACCCTTTTGCTCTGCAAGGGTATAAAAATCTTGTTGGTATAGACTTTTATGTGAGTCTAATTGTTTTCTACATTTATGCTTTAACTTCAAGGGTTTATATAATATGTATGGTTCGTCGAAGCTTGATTTCTGACTTGTTTTACTTTGTGAGCATTAGTTGTAACTGTAGATAGCAAAAAGTGTTACCCAGCATTTTAAAAGGACTGGTTAAACAGAATTTAAAATGTTTAATTAATTAACTTAATATTTACTTCACCTAATGCAACAAAGCAATAACCTTGCCGAGATCTCCGTTCCTGGTAAAGCATACTTTTTTTACTACCTAAAAACTATATATCAAATTAGATATGGAACTTGATGGGTTGTCGGATACGGAGGTGGCGTCATAAGTGATTGAGCCACCTGCGTCGGAAACCGTGCAGCAATTCGCTGCGTATGAAACAGAATGTACAGCATAGGGGAAGGTGGAGGTGCAGAGAAATTGGGCGTGGCAAATTTTAAAACACGGCATTCGCTGCGCATTTATTAGTTAAATTCAAATCATATAAAATGATGAGCCATCAAAAATGTGGGCGCGGTAGTGTTTTGCGGTTAGGGAGCGTAAAAGTGGGCGTAACGCATTTTTAAAACTCGTTGCGTATTTGCCACTAGCATCTGTATATTAAATCGCAATATTTTACTTCCTTAATTTTTTCAAAATTTCGACGTTAAAATAGAAAAGCGGAAAAAGTGGTTGTGGTTCGCTGCGTATTCATAAGTTGAGTCCAAATATAGCATCCAAATTTACATCCAAATAACATTACATTAAATTAACTTACATGTACTTTTCAACAAATATATTATACCTTTTTACCCCTAGAGTATCGGGAATATTTATTATCATGGTCCTACTTTGTATCATTTAGAAATTGATCGTTATGTCTTTATGGGCTGCGAAGAGTCAATATTATTTTATTAAGTCGCCATAAGCTAATGCCAGTGAATGAACTTGGCTTAAACTATTTAAAAACTGATATATATTTCTTTAATATTCAATTCGGCGAGTACTAGCACTTATCACAAATCAATAGTAACAAGATTTTGATCTATTGTTTCCTGTAGTTAGTTCGAAACTTACAACATGAGAGATAAATTGTACTTATAGTTAATCTGTAGTTATGTGAATTTTTTATTCATTTTCTCAATTCAGCGGCAGCTTTACAAATTAAAGAATTCGATCTTTATAGAAATAACTTGTGTTATCTATTGTCGGAACGAATTGCATATACAGCAGGATGGCTCTAAAACCGAGAAACTAGTTTAAACGGGCAAACGGACAGACTCCCGCGTCTAGTTTGATTCAGATTATGATGCTGATCAAGAATATATATACATACGTTATTTATGGGATCTGAGGTGTCTCCCTTACTGCGTTGCGACTTCTAACTGAAATTAAAATACCCTTATGGAGGACATAAAAATCATTTCTCAAGCAATCCAACCAAAGTTTTGTTTATTTTGGCACTTTTTTTAATTTTAATTGCAGTTTGTTTATTAATCAAAATTTTACAATAATATCGAATTAATATTAGTTATTTTAGTTAGTTTATTCATTTAACGGTATCTATACAACAAACGTTAATATTAGTATTAAAAAAAAAAAAAATGGTAAAATAGATAATGCAATTAGGCGTAGGCATCATAGTATTATCAAATTACGATTGGAAGAGGCGTGACAGGACAGTGGAAATGGCTTCCGCGTTACATCTGCATAGATATTGTTGTCTTATTTCGTTTCGTTTTTGATCAACCATCAACTTTGTAGCTTTTATGACCCAGTTAACACTCAACTGGTCGATTGGCCTTTTATTTTTATTTGCTGCTAGTCAAATGAAACTAAAGCCCAAGGGCTTTGGGGCTCCTGCCAGGGGAATATAGTCGAACTTTCGCCTGCGGTTCATCGAAGTTGTAATTTGGCTAAGAGAGGTTCATATGAACAAACACTTTCATTCGAAATTACAAACTGCATTCCTCAAAGAAATATTAGTTGTCAAAAGAAAAAGGGTTGAATAAATTAAGTGTGTTTTTAAATATGCAGAAGCTTGATTTGATTCGGAAGATGGACGTTGTTTGCGTCATGGAAGAAATTCAAAACTTCACTGCTTGGAAAACCGGTATCCATTCGAATTCCGTAGTAAAAATGATACTAGTTTATAGAAAAAAAGTAACTTCCCGAAACATATTTGCATGGAAACATTTTGAGATGCGAACAACATATTCAGCAATCAGAATTCAGTGATCAGTAATCGGTGTTATCGAAATTATCGAAATCTCTAGGTTGCAGTTGCGAATGCAGATCTTCAGGGGAGTTCGACTATGGTATGGTATGTGGGTATGTGGTATGTGGTATGTGGTATCTGGTATGTGATATGGCGATGGGGCATCGCGTGGACTTGGTTCACTTCCGGTGGCCGCCGGCGGCGGTGCGCAGCTCGATGATGGTGGCTCCGGAGCCGCGGCGCAGGCTCTGCTGCTGGTGGTGCTGTTGGTGGCTCTGCAGGTGGTGCTGCTGCTGGTGCTGCTGGTGGTGCTGCTGGTGGTGGTGGAGGTGGTGGTGGGCCTGCGGGTGCTCCGACTCGCTGCCGCGCCGCACGATGCTCGCCGTGTCCTTGTTGAGCTCGACGGAGGGCGGGGAGCGCGAGGAGTCGAGCGAGTACTTGGCCTGCAGAGGGTACTTGCGGGATCCGGGATACTCCTCGGATGGATCGCCGTGGATCACTCGGTAGAGGTCCGGGGCCTGCTGGTGCAGCCCGCGCAGGTAGAGCTGCTTCTGCTTGTCCTGCTCCGGGTAGCCACCCAGCAGCTCCTCCTCCTCCTCCTCGTTGCCCGCGATCCGCGTGAGGTCCTTCTGGCTGCGGCTGATGAGGTTCACGATCGACGGGCTCTTGAGGCCGCCCTTCAGCGCGTTGTCCTTGCCGGAGAAGAGGTGCGGGTTGGACTTGTAGTTGCCGCTGGGTCCCTGGCCCAGTCCGTACCCGAAGCCCGAAGAAGGCTCCGGCCGCGGCTGGTAGTTGTAGTTGTTCCGGGTGAGCTTCTCGATGTAGATGGGACTGGGGTCGTTGCTGCCGTTCATCCCGTGCACGTTGAAGCTCTTGCTCCGGTTCAGCACCTTGGCGTAGGTGCGCGCCGGTTTCGCCGGTCCCTGCGGCAGCATCTGGTTCTGATTCGGATTCGCATTCGGATTCGGGTTCAGGTTGTGGTTAAGATTCGGGTTCTGGTTCTGGTTCTGGGCGATCCCCCGCGGCGGCCCAGGAGCAGGACCTCCAGGGTAGTTGCCCCTGCCCGGCGGAGGCGGCTGCTTCTCCACGGCGCCCCCGAACCTCTGGGCGCGCTGCTCGTGGAGCTTGCGGGGCAGCGTCTGCGCGGAGCGGTAGTCCTGCTGCTGCTGGTGCAGATTCGGGGTGGAGCCACTGAAGCGCTGGCCGTGCTTCTGGTAGCGCCCCAGCGTGTGGGCCGCCGTCACTGGAGGAGGCGCCCTCGACTCGTAGTAGTCGTCCTCCCGCTCCAGTCGCTCCATGCGCTCATCGGGCCGCTCCACGTTTCTGCAATTAAATTCAAGATAACGATGTAGGATATCGATTCAGGACACAGAAAGCAAATATATATAAAACAACAAAGATAGCTTCCTTACCGCTGACGTGGCCGCCGCTCGTAGAGGTTCTCCTTGCCGTAGAGCGTGCTGGAGTAGGGGTCCTCGCCCAGGTAGTACCGCTGCCTGGGACTGATGGCCTGCTCCAGGTGCTGCAGCTGCGGATCTGCGGACTCGGCGCGCTTGAAGTTCTGCCGCGATGGGGTCTCCTGCTTGAGAGGATCGCGGTCGCGATCGCGTTCCCTATCTCGCTCCCGTTCCCTCTCCCTCTCTCTGTCCCTCTCTCGTTCTCGTTCCCTCTCCCTCTCTCTGTCCCTGTCCCTTTCCCTTTCCCGTTCCTGCTCCCTGCGCCTGGGGCTGTCGCTCTTGGAGTCCTCGGAATCATGGCTGCCGATGTGGCCATCGATCACGTTGTACTGCTGGTAGGTGGTCACCGGCGGACCAGCTCCCCGGGGATCGTGACCCGGACTGGGCGACTGCTCGCGCGACTTGCTGGCCGCCGACTTCATGCGGAACTTGCGCTCCGCACTCGCCGAGCGGATCTTGCTCACCAGCTTCCGCAGCGAGTTGCCGATCACCTGGCCCATGCGGCTCGACTTGGAGGTGCCGCCGCCTCCTCCGCCTCCTCCTCCGCTCATGGCCGACAGGTTCGAGACGGAGGCGGAGGTGGTGCCGGGCGGGCGGAGGCTCCCAACTCCTCCAGTGGCCGGCGGATAACTGGACGTGGGCGCGAACCGCGTGCGCTGCTGCTGCTTCCGGCTGAGGGTCATCGTGCTGGCAGGCGGCACCTCCCTGTAAGGATCACACTTGTTAGTTACCGGCTCTTCAAGCTGCTAAAGGGGATTATTAATGCTAAGTTAATCTGTCAGGTCTCCATTGCTCTTAACCAATGAAGACTTTGAGGTTTGAACCCACTTTGAAGGACACCTAGAAGTATGCTTCGTCAGAAACGTGCACTGTTCCGTAGAACCCTTTCCTTGGCACGTACTCATGCGAGCATGTACCTTCCGAAGTGAGAACACGATTTCTGATTTTGCCCACCTGGTCATCAGGTAATCCACCTGCGGCGAGGACGACCGACTGCGACTCCTGGGCGGCGGCGAGTAGTCCGGGGGAGGCTCCAGCTGGCCCACCTGCGACGGCATCGGAGCCTGCGCCTTGGCCGCCAGATGGGCGGAGTGCGATCCGTAGGAGGTGAGCGATGCGTGGGACGCGTGGCTGTGCTCGCCCAGCTTCTTCTCGATGGCACGTCTTCGCTGCGGGACGGTGGGTCGCGGGTTGAGCCCCAACTGGCTCCCTCCTCCGACATTCCCGCCGAAGTCCAGGGCAGGATTGGCGGAGGTGGAGATGGAGGTGGAGGTGGAGGTGGGTGTCGGCGGGACGGCGGCGGGGTCGTAGCTCTTGCCCCGCCCGTTCGCCATTCCGGCTGCCATTCCGTTCGCCACGTGGGCGTGGCCATTGATGGCGGTGCTCCCTCGATGGCCGTAGGCCACTCTCTTGTGCGAGGGCTCGTCGGGTGCCCGTGGCGACAGGAGGGAGGGACCAGGTCCCAGCCCCAGTCCCGATCCGGACCCCAATCCGGGTCCCGGTCCCGGTCCCGGTATAGCATCCAGGTCGTCGAGGGCGTCGCGGGAGCCACGCATCGAGCGGGCGAGGAACTGGGAGGAGAGGCTCTGGCGCTTCTGCTGCAGGATGTCCTCGCGGCTGACGTAGCTGTCCTTCGGCTGGCCCGCCGCCGATGGCTCCTGGGCCATCAGCGATCCCTGGGCGGAGCCCGGCTGGCCGCGCACCTCCTTCTTCCTCAGCCCGTTCCGCCGGATGGTCTCCTGCAGGTCCTCGCGGAACGCCTGCGACGAGAAGTGGTTGACCGGCGGGCCGGAGTCCTTGCGCTCCGACCAGTTCGAGATGCCCTGGAAGTACTTGGAGCGACCTGGTGCCGCGTTCGCCGGCGGCTTCCGCTCCAGAGTGGCGGACGTGGTGGTCATGGGATGCCGTTCCATCTCCCTCTCTCTCTCCCTCTCCCTCTCTCGCTCCCTCTCTCGCTCCCTCTCTCGTTCCCTCTCTCGTTCCCTTTCGGCGCTCCTGGGCAGCGTCTGCGGATGCGGATGGTGGGCGTGCGAATGCTGCGGATGCGAATGCGGATGCGGATGCGGATGCTGCTGGGTGGGGGCCAGGTGGGACTGGGCGTGGATGTGCGCCTGCGGCTGGCTCTGCGACTTGATCGTCACGTTGAAGTAGCTCTTCTTGGTGGGCTCCACCTCCGCGTCGGCCTCGTCGTCGCGGGAATCGTTCGAGGCTGTGGACTCGCTGCCAAAGTGCGACTCCAGCCACTTCATGGTCTCGCCCTTGCGCGTCTCCTCCTCGCGATCGAAGTCCAGGGGTCGCTTGGTGAGCGCATCCTTGCGGTCCGCCAGGAGGGCCACCTCTGCAATTATGGCGAATTATGTGGTTGAGTGACATAGAAGAAAGATTCGTTTTTCTGCATTTGTTAGTTAATCTCTCTATGAAGGTATAACATATAGTATGTTGTTTTCCAATTCTGTGGTGCAGTACTTAACCTCGACCGAGGTTCGTAAACTAAATATTTTTGCAGTATAAATCTTTTCCCACTTCTCACTTGAGGAATATGTATGGGCTTGCTTCTATCCAATATTGACTTTAGGTTTAAGAAGAATGTATTCAACTTTTAGGTTAAGAACCATTCTATTTAAGTTTATTTTTGTAAAGTAGATTTTTTTGCTGTTATGGCTGCTATAGGAAATCTATATAAAATTATTTGAACAAGAACTACAACGTTGTGGTTATTTTACCACGCATTATTTTTACGTTTTATTGAGATCTGATTACATTATTATATAGCTGCTATGGAAAAGATCGAACAATCTATGTAAAATTAGTTGGTCAAAATTAGAACGTCATTTCTTTATCTGCAAGAACATATCTAAATACTGGGTTTTATAAAGGCTTTTAAATTTCGAATTAAATTTTATGGTAATCACAAGTACAAAACAAAAAAAAAAACCTGGGGGAAAGCCTATCCAGATATCTTGGAAGTAGTTAGAAGAGTACTTCTGATATCCATCGACATGAGAGTGATGGGAATTGATTTCTACGTGGGGCATTGATCAGTGAAAGATCCATGTGTGTGCCTCCAAATGTGGCGTGGGGGACTCACCCTTCTGTTGCTGCTGCTGGGAGCGACGCAGCTTGCGCATCCGGTCGGAGAGGCTGTCCCAGTCGCCCGGACGCTCCAGGTCGGCGGGCCCGTCCTTGTCCATCTGGGTGGTTTCTGCGGCGTAGCGCATCTCGGTGGAGTGGAGCCGGCCGTTGGCTAGCACGTCCACATGCTGCTCGTCGCGCTGGCGGAAGAACCGCTGGCTGGCCGCCGTGGTGGTCACCTGCTCGCCCGCCCGGAGCTGCAGGCCGCGCTCATCGGAGGCGTCGCCAGGCGCGTCGGGCAGCTCGTCGTCGAGGATCAGCTCGTGCTCGGTGGTGCGCCGGCTCTCGGTGACCAGGGTGCCGTCCTCCTGGGCCAGACAGCGCTTCTGCGTGTCCTCCGAGTCGATCGTCTTGCGGGACTTGCTCCGGCTGGCCACCACCTGCGGCCCGAGCGGCACCAGCTGCCGCTGGCTCTCCGGCGAACAGAGCACGGTCTCGAGGTCCTCGACTCCGTCGCGCACTGCGTTCACGTAGGTCTGCGGGAGGATATGGAGAATCGTTTCGATTACAGACGGCTCCTGCTTCAGAACTTGGTAAACGGATATCACATTCAATATGTATAGTTCTGTATGTCCTTTAACAATTATGTAGAAATTTATTGAACGCACATAACTAATATCTTTGCTTGTTTTAGACCTTTCTGAAGTAATATAAAGTACCCCTTTCAACTAACGTTGTAAAGATCGCAATAACAAAATGTAAAATAGCTCTTATATATATACCTATTGACCTAAAAAACTATACATTCATACATACATATGTTGGACACCCTGAAGCATATTATCCCTAACTCACTTATGGGATTGTTTAGCCATATCATCTGTGGCCCAATCCCCATTCCCCTACAAATGGTTGCATCACTTTTCCAGCGATGCAGTCACTGCACATGGTGGCTCCTTCACCCCCCTACACCCCCCAAAAAAAAAAACAGCACCCTTTCCTTAACCCCTTCCTCACTTAAGTATTCAGAGCAAGACAGCAAAAACAACAAAACAAATCCACAATCCACTTACTTTTTCGAGTTGCCAACGCGGATGGGGCAACGTCATTGAGGTAACGGTAAAAGTCAAGAATGCGCCTCAAGAATGGGGGAAAAACGGAGGTGGCGAGGGGTGGGACAAGATCGGCTTACAGTAAAAAAAAAAGAACAGCAACAGAAACTAGATTCACGTTTTAATTCATAATATTAAGTGTAATTTCTATATAAAATACGGGATTAAAAAAAAATGTCCTATAAAATATTAAAGTTTTGATCTTCTGTTGTGATCTAGCAACATGAGGCTTAATACAAAATTTAAACGGCATTTACCAGAAATCATGTTTGATCGAAATTATATTACCCTCAAGGTAAAAATGATACAAAAAAGTGGATCTGTTAATACATATTATATATCAAATTTAGATCTGCTGATATTTAGCATTATGAATCACTGGTCTTGCTTTTAATGTGTGATTTATTCATTATCTTCTTTGTTTTTCGAAGGCGAAGCTCATTTGCACACTTGTATGATCTTTGATTTTATCACCGCTGAGGTGTTTTTTTTTTCTGTGTTGGGGAATTGCAGAAGGGATCGCTTCGACACGGGCAGCTCAAGGTCGAATCGCAATGGGTATCGCATCTTGGATTTCTTGGATGACGAGCAGATGGCACGCCTGGGTGACGCTGGTCATCGGATAAAGAGCTGAAGTGCTGAAGAGTTATATCTCTTCGTCGTTCGAAGCCGATCCCCCTTTCCCCTCCGCCCCTGAACCTGTCGGTTTTTTTTTTTTTATTTGTCGACGACCTTGCGTTAACGGTAACGCGCGTAGAAAGTGTTTTGTTGTTGCTCAGCCAGTTGCTTTATGCCATCTCTCTCGCTTTCAGCCAGAAACTTAATGGTCAGTCATATTTATTTACCAATTCCCCTCCAAAACCACCATTCCACTGTTTTTCGACTTTTTTTAAGCCCATTGGACACGAAATTTCCAAGTGTTTGTTTTATTTTTTGCGCTGCTGACTCCTATGATTTATCAAAAAAAAAAAAAAAACCATGGAGGGCCGGGAGGGGACTTCGATCGATGAATAATATTAATCGATGACGTTGCTGCTGACGCAGAGTCCGATCTTTTGAGGCGGGGACAAATCACTTCTTCTCCTCTTCTCCTCTTTTTACCTTTTTGCCTCTTTGCCCTTGTGCCCCCTCACCTTTATCCTCCCTCGGCGATTTTGGCATTTTCAAGCTGTTTGTCATTGACCAAAAATACCGCAATCACCTTGAGGGGTATTATTTTATTGAATAAGTGATTCGGTCTCTAACATGTGATTTCTCTAATACTTAAAAGCTGACATTAGTTAAAAGATTCTCTAGTTTCCCTAGATAGTCAAAATAATTTGATGTACTTGCTAAATTATTTCCTTTTACACAATCACACACCACAAAACTAACCCCACCCCAAATCCTAAGCCAACCCAATGAGCGTTGACGACTTTTCCCGCATGTTGTGATTTATCTTGATTTGTTTTATTGCCTTCACCTGGCCGAATCCCAAAACTAAAAAAACTAAATTTGAATTTCAACGAATTCCGAAAATCGGCAGGGAAAGAGGGTTTCCCAGGTGCAGGAGGAACTGGAGTGAGGAGTACTGGTACTCGAACTGGTACTTCTGAGCCCCACATTTCGTATGCAGACTCATGTTGTAGCCAGCATATTCAAATGGCCATTTTGCTGGCCATGTTGCCTGGCCTGGCATGCCAAGTGACCAAAACCAGCAGAAAAACTAAAAAACAAAGCAAATCGCAATGGGAAAAGAGAAATGAGCAAATTTTAAAGGCAGCTAAAGAGGCGGGTTGGCTGTGGATTGGCTTGGCATCGAAGCAGAGTACACAGAAACAAAGTGATCCGCTAGGGTGACCCTTTTTTAAGTTAAATATTATGAAAATATTATTTCGAATTACCTATAAATAAAGTTTGTATTCCAAAAATCGACCTACACTACACAGTTCAGCTTATTTATTTATGATGAACAGTATTTTCCTTTCAGAGGTTTGGTGGTGTACTATATTTATACCTGTGCAGAAGGCAGTCAGAAACAGCCGAGACTCCAAAAAGTGTACATATTTCTGGTCAACACATCTATCTGAGTCGGTCTAGACATGTACGTCTTTCTATATATATACTGAATACAGGGGCGGACGCAGAAAAAAATTTTGGGGGGGGTCCGATCGAAAAATTTTTATTGTTTGGGGGGTCCGATCAAAAATGTTTACGTTTGGGGGTGTCCGATCAAAAAATTTGTTCTTTTGGGGGGTCCGACCAAAAAAATTGTAGTTTTTATGGTTGAAAAGCCGTGTGCTGTAAGGAAATTTGAAAAAGTCTGAGATTTTGGGGGGGGTCCGGACCCCCGGACACCCCCCTGCGTCCGCCCCTGACTGAATATAATCTGATTTCTCAGTTTTGAAGATATCTAACTAAACTTACTCAGGAATCACAAACTTATTTTATTAAAATCGAAAGACGATATCATATAGCAGTCATACGGACAATCGGAGAGATTATAGAAAATGAATAGAAAATGCGTTATAGCTTTGATAGTAATAAGTATTTGAGCAATTCGCATGAAGTACTAGTTATTTACTAGGCAATGCACTTTATCGCTGACGTTGTAAGGATTGAACTTCCAATTTGATTTCAAGCTAAACTTCTTGCTTGCAAAGCATACAATTCATCAAAGTAATTATATAAAATTGCTCTTGTTTAAGTACAAGAAGAATCGATTTTCAAAAAGGGTTTTAGACGCTGAAGTTTGAAATAAGTATAATACAACGTAAGCTTTATGGTTAAGGGAATCCATTGGGTTTTAAAGGCCTTGCTTCGTATCTGCTTTATGGAAACATTGCTTGATTTAGCCTTTTTTCCTGTGTAAGCGGTATGGTGGATTGCTCGGACCCAGCGACCAAGACCGAGCAAGACCAGTTTGCCTTGGGAGTTGCTCAACCTCTCCGAACCGAACCAAACGGAGCTGAGCGAAGCGGAGCGGAATCGAGCAGAGCTCTTGATCGATTATTATTATTGTAATTCAGTTAGTGTGCGACCAACGCCAACGCGCCTGCACATGATAATGATGTCTACACGGCAACAAAGCAAAGCCAAACGGTTCCCTTTCTTTATATAAGAGATGGCACCAAAGGTCGTTTGTGTGGGTCGCAAACATCCGCGACACCACGATGAAAATGTTTGGGCGCAAGCCAGAATTCATTACTTAACTGCACATTGTCGTCGACAATTAAATAATAATCAGACAACCTACAAGTCTTCCTTCTGTGCTTTTGATAGGCGATCTTTAAAGTGGCCAAGGGAATAGGGAAGTTCAAGTTTTAGGATGAGATACACAGGGGGTATAAGCTGTTATCAAAACAATACCCAGAAGTACTGGGTTTGAAGGTCTAACCGAAGAGTTAAGCGATAAATTTATGTTTTCGCCAGTGTAAACGGCTGATGATGCTGGTGTTTTTGGGTTTGGAGAGCTGAAGCCGGAGTTGAAGTTTAATTTGAAGCAGGAGCTGTGCAGCGGCTACCAAACGAAGTTAGTACACTTGGGCTAGGTTTGAGCTCTGTGGGCTTCAGACTTCAGACTCGGTTTATCGTTTCCGTTGCGTGAATTGGTAAGACTCAGCCCCCTTTAGACCCCCTTTAGACCCCGTTTGGCCCCCCTTTGGCCCCTTGAACCTCCGCGGGCTGCTGATTGGCATTTGCTGATTAGAGTTGTTTGGGCTGGATTGGATTGGTTCGGTTTAGCATGTGGGGGCACCTAGACTGGCTCGAAACGAGTTTTCGGCCAGCAAAGTACCCACTCACACAGCGCTACGTGGTCACATAGATACGCCCGGAGACTGCGGCTGCGGCTGCGGCTGCCGCTGAGACAAAGAAGTACATGTACCGAGAGATACAAAATTCGAATTCAAATTCCAAACGCTTTTTGTGGTCGCTTTCCACAAAACTTCTCTGAATGTGGCATGGACGAATTTAATGTGCTATGTACTTATGTATATCTCGCGCCGATTCGGCGCGGCCGGTGTGAGCTTGGCTGTTTGCTGTTTGCTGCTTGCTGGTTGCTGGTTGTTGGTTGCTGGTTGTGTATATCTGTATCTTAGGTTCATGGACCTGCCGCAGACACGCCTAGAATCCAAGAAAGCCAAGTAGGAGCAGCGGCATTGGCAACGGCAACGGCAGCAGCAGCAGCAGTAGCCGCGCCGCGCACTTTGGCTATTGATTAAACCTGGCTCAGAACAGGTCCCCCCGGGGCCGAAGCCAGCTGCTCTAGGTTTTTCAGAGGTTTCCGAGGTTTCCGAGGTTTCGCCTTCGGGAGAGTGTGCACTCCCATGGCCCTCTCTCTTTCTGCCAGCCTCTGCCCGTCTCTCTCGCGCATCCCAGTGTGTATGCCTTGCAGTGTTGACCGCAAATTCACCCATCAAAAACTGAGCTCGCAGAACTTGCCAACTAAGTTCTGTTTACTACTAATTATTGAGCCCCACAGATCCAATGGCAAGTTTACCTCAAAAGTGTATTTTGAAACGAACCTATCTATTGTAGGTAGAAATCAGGAATAAAATAGCGTTTTTGGCAGGGTAAGCAACCTCCACCATTGGCTTCCGTCGCCTACTTCTTTAGAGTTCGTGGCTAGAACCAGTTGGAATTATAGCTTCACAGTGCCAACAGACCAGCTAGACGCTTATCTTCAAATGTTATCAACACGCAGAGATTATGAGAATACTAATGCTATTCAATGATCTTAAAAGACTTTAGCATAAACGAAGCTTTTATATTATTAGTATAGTAAAATAAATCAACAACACCAAACCACCATTTTAATTGTCAATGATCGGCACAACATTGTTTTGTCATATAGATGTATATAAAAGATACTAATATAAAAAAATATATTAACATTAAGTAAAACTTACGAATCTTCAAAAAGCTATATGAGAATTGTGGATTTTGTTTATCAATAGCAAAGCGTTGCGTCAAAAATCAATTGGTTAAATGACATCGGTAAAAATTCGATAAATGAGTAAAGAGCATCCCAACAAGATCAAAATTTGAAAATCCTTTAAAGTAAACTAGTTTCGAATATCGTTAGACGGAAAACTGTGATGCCTTGTAAGTGTCCGTCTAACGACCACCACAAGAGGCCCAACACGTCTTCAATGGCATTACCTTTTTGGCTCTGGTAATTGCCAACTACCGGTTTCTGTTGGTCTTTTACGCCCAAAGAGCCTGCCGGGAAAATAGTTTAGGGAAGGGAATTTCAGGCTGCTTATGGCTTTAATAATACCACGAAATATTGGAATATTCTTTTTCGTTGCTCTTTTGCCAACTTCATCACTAAGTTATCGATGCTCTTTGTTGCACCATCTAACCCACGCACTAATAACTAAATTAAGACAATGCTATACCGCACTCACACACACAAAAACACTCACTAGTGAAGTTTGTTTTCATAAACAAATGCCAACAACAACGCACAGCCGAGGAGAGAGTGGCGCTACCGATAACTTATAAGCGATTAGCGTGCCTCTTTCACCGATTGTCTTTTCTGCGGAGATGAATAACAGATAACTTTAAAAACAAAAAATAACAGTACACCATGCGGTGGCGGTGCGGAGCGGAGCGGGGCGGGGCGAGTGGCGACGCGAAACGCAAAGCAAGACGTACTCTCTTCAGTCGCTGAACAGCAACTGATCGGCAACGGCTCCAAGCGCTCACTCTTTTGGTGGCAGCGACGCCGGCCGCGGCAGCAACGGCGATGCCAGCTGAAGCAGCGGCAGAGGCGACAGCGGGATGCAGCCCCAAACAACAACAGCAATAACTTTCGAATGAGCTTGAGACAGCGGCTTAAAGAAAACAGAGAAAAATACAGGGAGCACCCACTGTGTGAGCACTCGCCTATATCTGAAGAAAACTTAAGGTCAAGTCTGTCTTGTGGAATTTAAAATTTTTCAAATAGAAGCTGCATAAAGCTTTTAAATGTAACTAATCTTTAACTTGTTGTACAGTATTCGAATGATATATTGTCTAAACAGCAATCTAACCGTCTATCTTTACCTGTACCTACATTTTTCAAAATGTGTTGACCAATCATCTGTTTTCATTGGTTCCCCGCGCTGAGGTTTTACTGTAAAACAATAAAAAAAAGCGAACTATCCAGTGCTCCTACATTGTTGCTTTTCACGCCGAATTGATTTTCAGTTATTTACGCCAATTTTCGGTTTAGCCTGTCCTCAGTCCTGTCTCCGATTACACAGACAAACACTTGGAGAAACATACATAGAACATCAATTTATCAACATATAGAATGTATATCAAACCCAGAAGCCTCCAATATTTCTAAAGACTGTAAATAAACTCTAGAAAACAATCAAAATATAAAGGCAACTAAGGAATCACGTTGAGGATCGTAATTTAACTATCGTGAATCAACCGAAATTTTATAAACTAAAAGCCCGTTTGTAGTTGAATTTTATTTGTAGCTGACGTTTCAGAAATGTCTTAAAAAAGCTTAAAACAATATTTAAAACCGTCTTTACGATATCTTTGAATTTGAAAACATGCCAAGAAAACTACATGACACTTTAATTTTAACACAGTTCCAAATTTTCTTCAAAACAAGGTCTTCCAAAAATTTTTAAGACATTTTGATTTTATCTGCCATTTTTAATGGCATAATTTTTGTCAATGCAGTAAAGCATACTCAGGTAGATTTAGCCACCAGGTCTTAGCCGAACCGCTCCTGTTATCGTTCAACCTAACCGGTCTTCGGCGATCTTCTTCTTGCCTGGAGCGGCTGGTGGTGCAGACAATGGGCCACCGCTCCGCCGAACCACCGCACCACTCGTGACGGAGATGGAGATGAAAACAAAGCTGAAGCTTAGGCACGGGATGAACAGCGCTCCACTGTGGGGGGTCGGAGGTCGGGAGTGGGGTCAGTCTTCTTCTAACAAGAAAATCCGAGCTTTCCCCGCTGAAACGCCGATTAGTGGGGATCGTTTTAAGCCATTTTCCACAGAACCCAAAGTAAATTCAATTTTTGTTTACGATTCTCCTGGTTGATACCAAATTGCGCTTGACTAATTTCTGTTTACATTGCTTTAAGCAGCGGTATCTTGATATGTATAATAAAAAAAGTCGGGTTTTTTAAAAGATATATTGGTGCTAATCTGATACTATACTACGAAAAATTGTTCCGAAGTGGGGGTAAATATACACGTATAGTAATCTCCCTCTCTGTCCAAAATCAGACTCACCTGATCTGTGAAGTCGCCAAGGTGCTTAACGTCCTCCGTTTCGTGGTAGTCCTTGATCTCCTCGTGAGAGATGACCCGCTTGTCGTCCGTCTGTCGCACTAGGCCATCCGCCGGTCGGGGAACCATTCGCTTGACCAGCTTCCCTGCTCCGTCCGCCGGTCCGAAGACCTCTTGGATTTGAGCCAACTGCGTCTCGTTTTCGGCGCCAGCCTCCAGAGCGGCCACATCGATCAGCTGGGCATTGCCGTGGAGGTCATCCGGCAGGTCAAGGTCGCGCTTCTAAAAGGGGAAACCCGTAAGTGTCTTTGGACCAATCAAAAACCCAACTCAAGCTTTCTTTGAAGCGCTAATAATACAATATTAAACTAGGTTTGTCTTTACATTTTGAATTGAGCAAGAAAATTCTACGCGATGTAGAGCATTGAAGTGTCGAGTTTGGCTAAATAGAGAGTTCGTCAGGATTGAATATAACTTAAATAGTTAGTTGGAACAGTAAAATACGAGTATGTCACCGTGTTATTTTTGCGATTGCTCATAGTAGAGCCTACTCTGCACCTATCAGAGACCCAAACTCACCTCAGTGGTTTCCGTTTCCTGTTTGTCGGTGTCCTCGGTGGTGTTTGTGGACACAATTGGACCGGAGTCCTCGATTACCTTGCCATCCTGCAGCTTCACCTGTCGTTTCACCCTCGTTTCGATCTGTCTGGTAGTTGTGAGTTCTGTCTTACGCTTCGTTATCCACTCCTCTGCAATCATTTAAAAAAAATAGAATTTAATGTTTTGCAATATAGATATTTTCCACATACACAAACAGTTTTTAATAAAACTATTTGGATAGCACGTTTAAATACTGCACAAGAAACGCAGCGAATGGCGTTTTTTTTCATATGCCACGCCCATTCATGCGCCCACCAGCCTATCTGGCGTTTCAGCCCTGCTGACTTAGCAATTGAATTGAATTGAATTGTTTATCTGAAAAAGGGGCATCTTACAGTCGAGGCTCACGGTATACTCTTTTAGTTTAGATAAATTTTATTTTAATTTAATTAAAATTTGTGTTCTCTAATAGAACGGAGTTCTATCACCGAACTAGGCTAACTAATGTTTATTATATTGAAAAAATATGATCGACTATTCGACGATTCGCCTAGATATTTAGATTCTTTGGTTTAATATGCATTTAGCGTGTTAACCAACATTTGCAAAAACAAACGAAATAAAGTTCCTATTAACCGAAAAGAGCGACGTACAATGTTCAAAGCTCACTCCTCCACTGTTAGCCGCATCCCAAAAGACGGCTACAGAAGACCGAAGCGGCTGGTTGATAGCCAATTTGTGCCGAAATCAAAGCTCTTCGCGAAGCTTTTAGCCAAGTTAACTGATCCGCAGACAGGACAAGATGTTGCCCAATATCTCTCGTGCTGCGGCCTCTACTTTTTGGCACCAATTGCAACAGAGCCAACTGCAACTGGCCAAGATGCCTCATTTGCATGTGGATAATGCCCATTTTGAGATCTACTCCGCCGCTTCTAACAAAAGAAGTCGCAAAGTTGGAGGGGCGTGAAGCGCTCCAGCGCATTCGAGCTGCGCGCCAAATTACGTAACTCAGACCAAGTTGGTCTCTCGGCTAACTGTACTCTATACTCTATACTCTACACACAGTGCTGGCCGTTTTTTAGTTTTCCTCGCAAATAAAGCTAAAGCTACAAATTCGGACAGAAAAACGTACAACTTGTCACGTTTTTATTTAGTCTATTAAAAAACTACAATTCGGTCTCAGTTTTTTAGGTTTATTGAAAATAAGAAAATACCATCATGGAAAATACCATCATGGAAAATACCATCATGGAAAATACCATCATGGAAAATACCATCATGGAAAATACCAAATGCTAACATTACTCAATTTTTTAGCGTTATTATGTTATAATTATTTAGATTATGTCGAAATTGAGTGCTTTTATAGTCATATGTTTTTAGAGAATAACGGCACCTTTTTACTGCATAGAGGTATTTTAAATTATAATAAGTACACAATTATACGTTAAGATAATTAAGGACATTTATTTTAATACGAGTTTCTAAGTAGATAATAAATTGGAAACAAATTTGAGTACTTAGTTTCTTCCTATGATTAAAAGATATCCCCGGCTGTTCTAAATTGCTGGTATCACTAACGCATTTGTTGGGCAACCTGCACTCGGTTAAACTAAGCCCCAGAGCCCACAGCCCAGAGCCCAGAGATCTTGGAGTCGACAGTCGAGAGCCGAGAGCCGAGAGCCGAGGGCTCCGAGCTCGGACATCCGACAATTGGTCGGCGTATTTTCCCTGTGTTTCTGTACTTTTCGGGTGGCGCGGTGGTGGGGAGCTTGGGCTCCGTCTCCTCCTCGTCTGAATCGCGGCTGCATTGAGATCGCTGGACCATCAAAGGTCGCTTATATAATCTATCTGCATTTGCAGCGGCGGTGGCAGAAACCGAAACGAGACGTCGCGTTGTCTGGCGTCTGTCTGAATCTGAATCTGAGTCTAAGCCGCGTCTTGCTTCGAATTCGAGCCCGCAATTGCAGTCGGCTGGGCAGTCGATCGAACTACAGTGAGTGTTGCCTAATGAGGCACCGCTGGAACCTAGTCCCTAAAGCTACTACAAGAAAGGACTAGAATATAGCTCCTACACCCTTGCAGCTAGAACTTCACAAATACATATATAATAACACAACGTTTCCGCTTGTAACTGCGATCCTTTTAAAACAATCGATGAAGCTACTATACTTAGTATTTAATTAATTATTTAATTAAGAGTACAGTACCTATAGCACTTCTCAAGTTTTGCCGAATTTTTCATAATTTTCAAACAAAGTACATAGGGGCTAAACAACATCGAAGCTTTACGCTATAGTTGTCCGACATGTACACAATTTAGGGTGAAATTTGTGCGAGATTACTTAAACATTTAACTAATTTGCTTTTAATGCCTGGATCAATTCAGATTGTGATGCTATCAAAAACAAATTATGGGGAGTGGGATGTGTCCTCATCCAAACTCGCTAGCGAGTGACCTAGCTGAGCCAATTTCTCTCCGACGGCTGAAGAAGCTTCATCCCACCGATCTCCCTACTCGTAGGATTTTATAATACTTATTATATGTTCTCACTTTTTTGATTCTCACTAATATTAATTGTTACTTAGTATTTAAGGCTACTTTGTATCCATAAAACATTTTCTCGTAAATTACGCTAGGTTAAGTTCAGAAGGCACTGAACAGATTCCAGTGAATAAATAAAATTTATAAATAAAATAATCACTGCGTTGCAAACTTCTTTGCAAATTATAATATCCTCTGCAAGGGCATAGAAAGATTCAGGATGTTAGAATGAGGAACTTGACTAGTCAACCCTGAATAAGCTGGATAAACTATTAGGAACAGCATTCGTTACCCACGAGGTGCCACTGTGCCAAGGCCCTCGTCTATTGTTCGACTGTATTTGCCTGACCAGACTGTTTATCTTTATCATTTGCACATGCTATTTATATACATATCCGCATTGTTGCAACTGCAGTTGGTTCAGTTTCCCCCTCCCCCTCCCCCTCCTCCGCCCGCTTCCCCCCTTTATCCCTTCCATCAGGGCAGTCAACCACTTCATAAATAGCAACAACAACAACAACAGCCACAACTACAACATCGACAACAACAATCACAATTAAGAAAACAAACGGCACAAGACGAAGAGGAAAACTGAAGGAAAATGTGGCCAGGAAAATGGGCTGAGGGAGGGGCGGGGCAGAGGGGGAGGAAGGTTTTCAGCAGGTTGGATATCGGGTGCAATTTCATTCTCGGTTTCGTTTGCCATTGTTTCGAATCGAATGAAAAAACCAAAACCGAACTAAAGCCGATTCGCTTCAATCGACTCCGTTTGGGCTCTTGACGCTAATGTGGATTTGTGTTAGCCAGCCACGCCCACCTAACAAGCCTCGATCTGTGCGGATTTCTGCCGATCTCTGCCGATTTCAGCCGACTTCCTCCCCTTTCCAGCGATCTGTCTGCTGGTCTTTCCACAGCACCCAGCTATTGCATTACATCTCTGGCTCCGATCAGCACTTGGACTAATTGTGGCATCGATTATGGCCTGTCAACCGACTTCCCCCGTCCGCGATCTCGATTTCCATCGTCCTCCTTGCTCTGGGCCCCCCAAGCACTTGTCACTGGCCACACCCAGATAAAGGGGAATAAATACAAAATAAACAGGGAGAAAATATCCCCATTAATACTCGATACATTAATACTCGATACTTATGTATATGTTATTTTAATTCCAGGAGTATCGCTTTTTCTGGGGGAGCTGCCATCCTTTTGCCTTTCCCTACTCCTACTCCTCTTTTATTTTTAAAGTAAAAGGTTGAAAGATTTTATTCCATATCCTCTTGAACACCATAAGCTTCCAGTCAGTAGCTTAAAAAGTACTAATCCGTGTACCAATGGGTGTTTGCACATCCAAGATATTGTATTACTCTTACGTGCTTACACATTTTCTTTCAGGATGATAGGATATATATTTTTTTTTTTATTTAAATTTGGTGTTTAAACACGGTTGACCTTTATTGTAAAAAATGTTTTAGTCAGTTGACTACAAACTAATTGACACATATTTCCTATATTATTGTACATCTTATTTCATATCCTATCGTCCTCTAGATGTTCAACAAGCGATTGATCGTGTTTGGCACAATGGATTACTCTTCAAGATAAAGAAACTATATATTACTAAGATCTTACTTGTCTAAGAAATATTTCTACGTGAAGCAGAAAAATGAAACGTGAACTCTACTTCTCATAAACGCAGGCGTTCCTCAAGGGAATGTACTGGGACCAGTCCTTTACACTCTATCCACGGCAGATATGCCAGCAACAAACAACTGCACCATTGCAACAAAAAAAAAAAAAAAAAAAAAAAAAATAAGGATACTAGCTTTTACATCCCTGCAGTTAGCGCTTTGGGGTATAAGACGACTAGGATCACGGCAAATCTCTACTAACAAGATTTTTAGTTCCATATTTTTCAAATGTTAATTCGATCCTTGGAACTTTAGCGCTAGAGAGCACTGCATAGAGCTTCTCCCGCTTTGTCGAGTTTTCCATACTTTTCTCATAACTATATAACTATACGATATAGTAGTTCGATTTTTTATAAATAACTTCTTAATGCCAATTATCGTAACGAATTGGTACGAATTGGTTTTATATCTTAAGGCATGGCATTTATGACTTTAAATAAACTTTTGTATCTAAAGCTAACAAAAATATTATTCCCATGTACCAAAACTGTATATTTGTAATGCATTTAGTGGCTCCTACTTAATGTGGTTTATGTAAACGATTTTAATTATTAAATGTTGTGTTGGCCATAAATATACTTTTATCGGCTGAAAATGTGTGTTTTTTCTTGGTGTGTCAGCGAGGAGCTACTTCCTCCGCAATCAAAAGAACATATGTATTTCCACACAGGCGGGTGTTTGGTGGTGGTGTCGCAAGGTGGTGCACCAATTATTGTAATTTTCCACCGCTTTTCCTCCTGCTTTTGCGTACGACTTGTCGAGTTGTCCCGCGAGTTGATTTTAATGATTCGCTAACGTGGGAAATCTCTGCTGGTGCAGCAACACATTTTCCTTGGATCATTTTCCAGCGATTCAGTTGGCAGTCTTCCATGCATTTGCATTTTGTTGTTAGCCGCTTGTTATTTCTAATTTTTACACGTTTTTTACGGTTGTTGTGCATACATTTTTTCAGATTGCCGCAAGTAATCGACTTATTGTTGCAGTTGCAAGTTGCTAGTTGCTGGTTGCTGGTTGCTGGTTGCTGGCTGATCGTTGCAAGTTTCTGCTGGCAGTGGCGCCTTTGTGTTATGTTAATCACATAATTAAATCAAAACTTTCTATGATTTCCGCGGGTGGGGTACATAATTGGAAGAGCAGGGAGCGAAAGGAATTTGGGATTGGTGGCTGAGCGGGGAAGGGCTGTGAATATGGAAATGGTTCCGAGTCGCATTCATTTCGCTTTCGCTTTCGTTTGGCATGCTCTCATCTCTGGTGGCCACCGGGTCGTATACTTGATGTGGGAGAGTCAGCCTTCTTCTTTACATTCATGATGTTTTGTTCTTTATTCCAGTCGTTCAGCCTTACGCCAATTTAAGCGGCAATATTGTGCGGCCTGAATTACACACACTGTTGCCCAACTAATTCGCTATCGATGGCCGAGTGAGTAACTCAGTGACTGCCTCAATCCACTGCCATCTATCCACATCCATCGGCATCCCGTGAGCTCTCCTCACCCACTGCTGCCTGTGATCTCACGCTGGTGGCAATTTGTTGGCTGACGCTCGAAGGCTTGGACATGCCAATGGCGGTGATGTCACTCGATTGGCTCACCCACGACCGAGACGTTCAGATCGATCACGTTCAGAACGATCCGGTAGATCACTGTCTGCCTCTGACATGATCTGTCGAACCCAGTTCGTCACTGGAGACCGCAGTGACCTGATACTTGAGTCGGATTCAAGTTCATTTCGCTCTCATTGGCATTCAGTTCTACTGTATTGCTGTTCCCTCCAATTGTTGCCTTTAAGTGCAGTATCTTTACTTACTCGTAAACTATTTTAATGCGGTAACTTATTGTTTCCGCGGGTGGGGTGCTTTTTAAGGTGTTATTTAATGAAATGTTCGTCTTGTTTCCTATACCTCCATATTAATTTTTGCTCAATTAAAAACACGAAATAATAAACAATAAATAAGTAACACATTCTTCGCCTTCAACTTGCATTCCTGGCTGAACAAGGACCCTTTCTAAGCCGCTCTTATTATTATTATTATTATATTTAAATTATAAATATTATTATAAATAAATTTCAGAACGACTTAATAGAAGAACAGCAAACATTTACTTGCGAGCGGGTTTCGTTCAATAAGTAAAACTCAACACCATAAAAAATATTGCTGTGTTGGATGGCTATCAATTTCTATCTGTGAGTCCCTACGTACACTTACTCTTAGAATTCATGAATGAGTTCATGAATGAATTCATTTGAGTTTGCGATTCGGAGGATTGCAACTAGTGGTTACCCATTTTCAGGGATCTGGGGAGTGGCTGGTATTGTTACTATTTGATTTGAGGATAAATGAGGATCCATCGCATTGGCATCTCTTGATTGATATTTTGGTATAAGATACTTCACAATGGCAAACTCCCCAACTTTGGCAATAGCACTTTAAAGGCATGGTTGTGTTGTTGTTATTTTATTTGAGGATAAATGCGGTTGTATCTCTTGATGGATACCTCGGTAAGTAGCTATTCAACTGGTAAACTCACCTTCTTTGGTAATAGCTTCTGTGTCGCAGTGGCCTGCCGCGGCCTCGCTGCTCTCCTCGTCGTCTTTGGGCTCGAATTCGACCTGCGAAGTGTCAATGTCGTAGAAGTTAACGCGGGTCACGTGGCGCACGTAGTCGGTGGTGGTGGTGGTGGTGGTGGCGGTGGTGTTGGTCGAGGTGGTGGCACAGCTCCCGTGGGGCTGTGACGATTGGACGCGGAAGAGGATCGGCTGGTGGTGGCGAGGCGGGGCTGTGCGACTGTGTGGCGGTGGCAGTGGCAGTGGCGGTGGCGGTGGTGGTGGCGGTGCCCAGTGGAGGCCGTGGATGCGCGGTGGCTTGGGCACGGTGTTCGCCGGCTGCAGGGACAACCACCTTCCGTGGGGCAGTGGTGGTGCAGTGGTGCTGCGACTGTGACTAGGATGCTGGGTTCTCTCCGGTTCTCCGGTTCTGTGACTCCGGTTTTGTCGGTTCTGTCGGCTCTGTCGGTTCTGTGTGGTCTGGTGGTGCAGCCGCTGCTGCTCCTCGCGCCTCTGGTGGTGCAGCTGCAGGTATCCAGCCGGAATGGCCGTGTCGCCCGTCGACGCCGATGAGGATTCATGGCTGCTCCGGGAATCTCCGCTTCTGGCTGCTCTAGTTGCCTCTGGTGCTCCTGCTTCTTCTGACTGCTTCTTCTGGTGCTGGTGCTTGGGTGGTGCGTGGGCGGTATCGTGGGTGTGGGCGTGGGCGTGGGCGTGGATGCTGCTGCTGCTGCGGCTGCAAGTGCATGGCGACAGTAGGAGGATCACCACCATTCGATCATCTGGCGGTGGCTTCGGCAACGGTGGCTGTGCTCTAACTGCCGACTACATTTGCTCGCCCCTCTCTCCCTGCCCTCCAGTTCTCCGCCAACTCCCCCTTCTCGTTCCCGTTCCAGTGCCCGTTCCAGTGCTCGTTCCAGTCGCCGTTCCAGTCGCACTTCCCGCTCCAGTGTGTGGTGTTGCTCGGCGGCAAGTCCAGAGCTCGCACCACATTGCAGAGCGCGATTCACGGCTCCAGCTTGCGAAGATCAAACCCGGACTCTAAACCAAACCAAAGGGAATCGAATCGAATGTGGATTAAGCCGACGAGAAAGAGAGAGAGGGAGAAGAGTGACAGCGAGGCGGAATGGATCAAATCCTGGTTCAATTTGCAACGCTAACGAACTGAAACCAATGCTTCCTTTTTATACCCTGCAGAGCAAAAGGGTATTACAATTTCAGTCAGAAGTTTGCAGCGCCACCATCTGAATCGAAATACGTCTGTCCGTCTGTCCGTTTGTCCGTTTGTCCGTTTGTCCGTTTGTCCGTTTGTCCGTCTGTCCGTCTGTCCGTTTCCACGCAAACTAGTCTCTAAGTTTTAAAGCTATCTTGCTGAAACTTTCCCAAAAGTTGTGCAGTTATTGCACGCAGTATATAAGTTGGAACGGTCCGGATCGGGCGACTATATAGGATAGCTCCCATACAAGAGATTGAAAAAAATTCTTTCGCCGTTCTTTTTGCTCAGATCGACTTGATTTCTTCTAGATGGCGTTTCCTAACAACTATTGAATTTCGGATTAAATTTTATCAAAATCGGATAACTCTATTATATAGCTGCCATTCGAAAGATCGAAAAATATATATTGAAATAAGGGAAATAAAATTATAACATCGTTGTTTTTCATTAGACGAGCATGATTTTTGGAATATAAAGATTTCTAACGACTCTGGAATTACGAATTAAATTTCAAATTTATAGGCGGACGACTATATTATATAGCTGCCATATGAACAATAGTCGAAAATATGGAAAAAATTAAGAAAACTCGTCATAGCTTCGATGTCGTTTAGTCTCTATGTATTTTGTTTAACATATTTGATGACTGCAAGGAGGGACCTAAAACCCTATTTGGGAGGTCAACTACTACAGAAACCCCAAAGATATGACGTGTACTTTAGTTGACTAAGAAAAGAGAGGAAAACCCAAACAAATAATCATAAATACGCGAATTTGATTTATCTTTTATCGGACCGCTAAAGAAAATCTTTCTACTTTCAAGTTGTTATAGTTTTTGCAAAAACCTAAAAAAAGATCCTTTAAAATGGTTTAGGTATCCCGGCTTACAATCAATATTGTTTGATGCAGGGCTTTCTTCAACCTGTGCGTGCATATAGTCAGGGGAAAGCACTCTGTTTTCATATTCCCCCAAGATGTACAACTGGAGGAAATCTCCTCCCTGCTTTCAGTGGCCGTTAAGTTGGCCAAGCGTTAAGTCGAGAACGGTTCTGCGAGCTCATTAGCCCGCGGCCAAGGGCCATAAGTGGATCTGGCAGTCCGTCAGTCGGTCCGGCACTGTAGCCTCTGTACTCGTATCTGTTCTCTGTTTCTGTTCAGCCAACATCCAACCTTTGGGCCAACAAGTCGATGTGGAGGCCGAAACAACCCAAGAGGGCAACGTGCACAGTTCAAGGCGGAGAAATGGAAAATCGAAAATGGAAAATGGAAGTGGTTGTGCGGACAAGACAAACTTTTGGGCTCAGTTCAACTCAACTGGGCCCCAAAGGTCAGATCGCCAGGCCCTCGGCAGCAAAATAAACAGAAACAGAAAAGAAACAAAAACCATCGCCCTGTGGCCTGTGCAAACGATTCAGCTGCCCTCTGACTGCAGTTTCTGTATTAGGGATACTCGGATGTACACGAAGATATTTGGCCGGGCTTAAATAGGAAGTTGGATAGGGAAGACACGATTCTAAAATCGGCAGTTGGGCTAATTGAATATTAAAATAAACCACTTTCAGCCGGAAATCTACTCAATCAAAAACAATCGAAGTGTTTTTATTTCAATATTGATTTCTTTATAAACAAATTTGAATAATGAAACCAAGATCTTTGGAAAAGAACTTAATCTTAAAATCATTCCAAAGTTTATAGGACACAAATGAAAGAGAAGATTTGTTGACATCTTCATATTGTTTTGGGTACACATAATATTTACTTGTTTTGCCCAAGATTATACCCTAAGTTCGTTAAACCGGCACCTTTCAGTTGTCTTTAAGGCACACTTAATATTTCCAAGAGCTTAGATGCTTCCTACGGATGTGAACCAGACCCAAGACACCTCTCCCACAGGCCACAAATTTGGGAGGTGCGGGAAAACGATTCTCAAATCGATAATTAGGCGGGCGGACAAGAAATCTTTGACCGGCTTGCTGGCTGCCTGATTTGCTATTCTCGGCTTAGCGATCCACCGGTGACGTCAGGCCGACAAACAACAACACACGCTCAATTGTGACTGCGATTTGGCCATTTTTGTAATTGCTTCCGGTCAAATTGATTTGCTGTTTTGTATAAGGGAATCGATGGAAGCCGCCGCAAGCGAAAAAGCGTGAAAATATGGAGGAGAAGCTTCTGCCTTCGGAGTGGATCGCCTGAGTGCCATTTAAGGCCCTGCCGATGGCTCCTTTTTAGTCACAGGCTGTTCGCCCAGTGGAACACAAAGGGGGTTTTCGTTGGCGAAGGGGCAGTCACGCCCAGCCGTGAATCACCCATCGAAAATCTCGCTTGAGTTTGGAGTTTGGAATTGAGAGTTGCGAGTTGCGAGCTTCGAGTCGCAGCTCGGGCAAACTTTGACAATTCCTAATGCAATCGCATTGCCTTTTACTTGACCCAAAAGCAACAACAGCCGAACACTGAGAGAAAACAAGACTAATGGCTCTTGGGAAACCTAAAAGAGAGTTTTCTGTATTCACCACAATAATGCTCTATGAGTCTGACGTCCTTCAATGTGATATTAGGACCAGCATTCCTATGAAAGGCAATCAGAAGCCCGCTAATTAAAACTCGTAGTAGAGCTCACTAAGTAAATAGAGCAACCTATAACACGGAAATATCTTTTAGGTGCTCTTAACTACATATATGATGATTAAGTTCTAGTACCCTGAGCAGGTAAATACCAACACCATTTTTATTCTGCTGTTATTCCTATATCTTATTACCCTCAATCACATTATTCTCTTTTTTTTTTGGTTTGCCACCAAAGCGACTTGAGAAACAACAAAGTTTCAGCCGAGCCCAAAAGTCACGCACTGGTCAACGACGAATTGGTATCCAAAACAACTCCCAGCCAATCCCCAATCCCCAAAAACCCCTTCCCAAGCCCCTTTTCCCAGCGGCGCGTTGTAGTTGCATTTAATTCACGCCTTTTGGCCATACAAAGACATTGAATTGTGGCTGCTGTCCAAAAACGCAAGACAGGCCAAAAGAGGTTTCCTTTTAGAAGAGCGGGAAAAATCTTAAATAGTTCACCCACAACAACCACAACGGACAAACAAGTTGAACACGGCTAAAACAACAATAAACAACGGGACAACAAAACTTTTTCAAAAAGGTAGCCCCACATAACCAGCAACAAGCAACTAACAGCCAACAACAACAACAACAACAATAACAGTGTCTGAGAAACCGACAACAACAAGAACTGCATTAGTTGTGGGTGCTAGTGGAAGACCCCCTCACTCCCCCTCATTTCCCCGCCTCCCACACCTCACTCAACCCCCTTTTTCAGCTCCGTACACTTGAACAAAATATGGGATGCCTATGGGGATCAGAAGAAGGTTTTTTAAATGGAACATGGAATTTCATGGAGAAATACTAACTATTTAAGATGTATTAAAAGACATTGAAGTTTAGTTACTAGTTACTATTCTGTTTGGTACTCGATTCGTAAAAGAATAAAGGAAAAGGCGATGTTGCTAACCCTTCGAATGTCAAATTAATAATCGAAATAATAAATAAATTTATGATATGATACTGATACTGATACTGATGAGAACACCCCAATTTTGTAGCCGTGTAGTGTTCAGCACTTTGTGTGCAGGCTTTGATTTGTTGTTATATGTGAGTGTTTCTCAGGCCTTGTGTTATACTGCCTGATCTCTCGGACTTTGGGGGCCTCTTAATGGTGGGAAAATATTTTCGTGACCCGCTGGAAGGGGGGGGAGGGAGCTAACAGTGTTGCGCCAGTAGTAGAACTAATTCGTTGGGCCAACGTTGCGTATGCGCGATGGCCCATGTGGGCCGGATGATGCAACACGCAAAGATCAACAAAATGGCAACAAAATACAAAATACAAAATACAAATAGAAGCAGAAGTGGAAGTGGAAATAGAAATAGAAATACTCGAAGAAGTACAAACTAAATTGTTTGCAAATATGCAGCCGAACGACAACAACAAATGTCACGACAGCGGATAGAAAACGAGCAGCAAAGCGAACTAAAAGATACGAAACTGAAGCGAACGAAGCGAACGGCGAGGAGTGACTGCAAAAGCCCGAGTTAATGATTAATTTTTTGCACGTATGCGCCACTCGGGCCGCGATCTGGCAACGGGAACGGTTCGCATGAATATCTCCAGTACCTCAAGTACCTCCAGTACCCTCAGTACCTCCAGTATAATATCTCCACTTCTGCACAGCCCGAAAAAGGTTCTCCCGCCGAACGAACCTCCAAAATGTTTCGATTCAGCTATTTCTGAAGCGCAGCCAAGTTTTCAGGTGGTTTGGTTGTTTTCAAAGCCGGTGATTACTACAGAATTTATCTTTCGGTATTTTCCACAATCTTCTCCCTAGTTTTATTTCAGATAAATATTGCATCACAGCTCCATTTATTTACTACAATACGTGTTACGTATATTTCATCTCTAGAAAGAATCTCAACTCCAGCCAAATACCTTCGAGATACCTCGATTTACAGCTCAAGAACGTGTTCTTTTGCTGGCTTTTTTCCGAGTGTACTGCCCCCACTCACCCTTCTCTTCCTCTCTTCCTCTCCAAATCTTTATCTCTTGCACTCTCACACTTTGCACTTTGCCTTTGCCATTCAGGCAAGCAGCGCAAAAACACACGAACAAAAAATCAAGTGCAGCGCGACAATCAGCAGGCAAAACCATTCACAATTTCAATTCAATTTTGATCGATTCGGGGGTTTTCAGTTCGAGCGGTTGTGTCAAATGAAGCGCCAACGAAATGGAAACCGAAACGGAAAAGCGAAGGAGCTGAAAACCCGAAACGGAAAAGCTGAGTGGCTGAAGAGCTGGGAAACGCTGGAAAGCTGGAAAACTGAAAACTGAAAACGAAAAACCGAATGAGAGCGCGATCGCGAGCGGCGTGTTCGATGGCGCGTTCGCGACTGTTGGCCGTCGGTAACTGCACCGTTAGTTTGTTACACCTGAGCTGAAAACTTTTTGCTTTTTTATTTCGGCCGCAGCCGCTGCTTTTGCTCCGCCGCTGCCTCCGCCACTGCTGCTGCTGCTGCTGCTGCCTCTGCCGACGTCGACGCTGGCAGCCATTCATTGTTTTTGCCCGCTCGGCGAGCTTTACCTGAGCCACCTTACGCGATTAACGTGGCCCGAATGTGAGCACGTTTCCAGCCAACAGGGGAACACAGTGGCAGTCACAAAAATAGTGGTACGTGTAATAAATATTTTCTGAATTACCAGAGTCTCAAAGTCCGCTACTTAATATTGAAAATGTAGAAAATAACAAACAAATTTTGCTTTAGTTCTCACAGCATAATTTGAGATGATTTTAGTACTTTCTAGAAAATATGTTTCTCCATCAAAAAGTTGATTTTAACACTGTTATAGCGATATATCATACTTTAGAGCTACGGAATATTTGTTTGTTATGTACTTATAATATGTAATTGTTAATCTTACGTTTAGAAGTTTACGTATCAAATATCATAATGACAATATTCAACAACTCTTTATCATTTTACCAAGCATTCTTATAGTTCATCATTTTGCAAAGAGTGATTCATAAAGACAAAATATACCTAATGTCCGTTAGCAAGAGTTTTTTTTTTTTTTGTTATTACTTATTTTCGTACACATACCACTATATTTGTGATTGCAACTGTAGGTAATATGATTGTAAGTTGCGAGATGAATGCTGCGGTGAGTTGCAGGACAGCGGGTGGGTTAAAAGGGTCAATATAGCACTCACCAGTTCGTTTTGTTCGTCTTTGGCGCCAGCTTTTGATTTGATGGTCTTGCTTAAAGCCATAGCCGCTGTAGATTTCTTCTAAACAAATTCAAATTATTTCCGATTACTTTATGAAAGCTTTAACTTCTTTTATTTATTGTGAAGAGAAAAAACAATTTACAAAATAATTTAACTTAGGCAAACATGGTTTACCTATTGGGTTCATGAAATTGCATTTTTAAATTTGAGCTTTTGATTTATGCGGCGTAGTTTTATAACTTTTAAAACTTCAGTGCATTGCAATGCATTGGCTTGTTCCTTTGCTAGTCGTGTTTCAAACCTCACTCGTTATCCAACGTACGCTTAAAAGTAGACTCTAATTACAAGATCTCAGAAACTCCGCTGAATTTTGATAGATGGAGCCACTTGAAGGTAAAAGCAATGCAGCTTAGTTTTGGTTTTCTTTGGTTCCATGTTACTTTAAACATTTTCTAATTTCAAAAGTTTGGCTGTAATGTTACATCCCTTTGCATTATTCGACATTTTCTTTATTTAAATGCTATATTTACTAATCATTCTTTGCATTATTCTATTAATTCTTTGTTAATCAAACAAACAGTTTTCAGTATAAAAAAAGGTAGCCAGCCTGAAGCCTTTATTTAAGTTAAAGCCAAAGTCTATCGAATGGTAACAACATTGCGAATTGTCAAAACTCAAGCAAAATGTATAATTTTGCCAATTTTTATACCCTTGCAGGGCAAAAGGGTATTATAGTTTCATTCAGAAGTTCGCAACGCAGTGAAGGAGCCACCTCAGTCGCCATAAAGTACATATATATATTCTTGATCAGCATCACGATCTGAATCGAAATACGTCTGTTCGTCTGTCCGTCTGTCCTCCTGTTGGTTTCTATGTAAACTAGTCTCTCAGTTTTAAAGATATCTTGCTGAAACTTTCCCAAAAGTTGTGTAGTTGTTGCACGCAGTATATAAGTCGCAACGGGCCAGATCGGGCGACTATACCGGATAGCTCCCATACGAGAAATTAAAGAAAAAATATTTTAACGCTTTGTTGTTTTTTTTTTTATCATATGGACTTGATTTCTTTCAGATGGTGTTTTTTAACTACTATCGAATTTCGAATTCAATTTTATCAAAATCGGATAACTATTTCATATAGCTGCCATAGGAAAAATCGAAATACATATACATATATATAAATAATGAAAAAAATGATAACGTCGTTGTTTTTTATTCCAGAAGCATAATTTTTTTAACATTAAGTTTTTCAACTACCCTTGAATCGAGAACAAAAGTATCGTAAAAATCTGACCTTTATATCATATAGCTGCCATAGGAAAAATCAAAAAATGTATATAGAATTAACGGAAATAAAATGATAACATCGTTGCAGTCGTCAGACAATCATGATTTTTGGAAAACACAGTTTTTTAACGACTCTTGAATTTCGAATTGAATCCGATCAAATCGGACGACAATAGCCAAAAATAGGAAACAGAAAAATAGTCATAACTCCCGAAGCTGCGAAGCTAGCTTCCTTTCTCGTTAAGACTTAGGTTTTGACAGCAGGCGTTTAAAAACATAACATATGTATATTTGAAGCTTTCTATTTTTTATTATTTTTTTGTTTGGATAGTCTATGCAAACTTTGGTTTTTACACTGAAATTTTAACATTTCGGTATGTTATTAAAGGAAGCTAAATAAGGAAATCTGCAAGTGTGAACAACCTTAGTTTATATTATTATTTTAGTACTGAACTGAACTCTCTTGCTAACGTTTAAACAATGCTCGTATGCATTTGAGAAACAGCACAGTGCCACGTGCAATCAAAGGATTAATTATGCTTTGTTTTCTCCTTGACTTGGATTTCTACTTCTCCACTTCTCCGATCTCTTGCTTCGGCTGATCATTTGGATAATTGCTGCTCTCGAACAACTTTGAACTGGCGGTGCTGCCCACTCGCCGTTTGCCGCATAGTTGCGAACGCATTTGGTCAAAATGAGTTTTAGTTTTCGTTTTTGGCTTTCAGGCCCCGATGGCCAAAGCCAAAGCATTTGGAACGCCTTCGCCTGGAGTCCCGCCCCCGCCTGTTAATGAAAAGCTCAAGCGTTCTCGAAACAAACACCGAATCAGAAACAAAAACCGAACAGAAAAATACTAATTTAAACGCAATAATACTGTTGACACATAAACGGGGTTCAAAGTCAACAAATCTACAAAATCGGAGGATTTTACATTGCTAAACGTCAAGGCGGTACACAGAGAAAAAGTGTAGGCTGTAACTACGGAGCATAATTCAAAATTAATATAAATTCCTGAACTATTTATTTAATACAAATAAATTTATAAATTAATTAAAAGGGTACGTTAAGATAGAATAAAAAACCGGAAAACACTTTTAATTGATGTTAAATAATTTCAGAACAACGATATTTGCGGAAAATTCATGCTTCATTATTTCTTTATTATCATTTTTTCTCCGTGTGTAGATCTTAATATCGATTTGCATATACACATTTTCAAACATATGGATATAGCCATGTCGGTGTATTTGGACATATGTATATCAAATATTGATAGCCGCTCAAAATGACGAAACGATCGAGTTATTTGCGCGACTTTGCTAAACTCATTCTTGTTGCTGTTTTCTTTCTTTCTTCGGCCCACACAATTTTAGTATTTGCCATACCATACATTATACATTATAAAACGGCGATTCGTCTGGCGCTGAGTGTGTTTGTGAGGCAAACATAAAGACGTACTTGCCAGTTTGTCATACCTTTAACCACAGTGCGGCGCTGCTAACACGATCCCCGCCTTGAATGAAAAAACTCAATTCGATTTCATTGAGTAAAACCAACAGACAACGGACATGAGACTGTCTGGTGAATTGACTAATTAACAAACTAATAATTGTGTATTTAATACTAAATTCGTTAGATTAACTTGGGCAGAATATATTAAAAAACAGTGGATTTATCAGCGATCGATTGATAAATGAATAGATCCAAACATACGGTTTAATAATCTAAGAACTGTTTTTTTTTAGGATTTTAGATTTTTTTTCAAATGCTATATATAAGCTCTACTACTTGATTCCATTTCATTAGATTCCGATTTGATTCTTTTGGATTTGTGCATCTACTGGCAAGTAGCCCAAGTCGGATGCCGATATACATATATAATATATATATAATATATATGCACCATATTATAGTGACCATATAAACGATATCACGTACGGATGTGTTCTAGATTAATCCAAACTCGCGATGTGGATGTAACACAAGGTCACTTGGCCAAAATAAAGGGATTGCCTTCATTTATTACATATGCATTTTTACTAATAAATAACATATTTATTATCAGATAGATAGAAACGTATACATAACTTGTAACATCCACAGTTTCTATTTGAGTTTGTACGGCATACCAAAAATGTAGGTTTGATAACATTTTTTTTGATTTAAAAGAAAGCGAAGTTGCACGCTTTTAGCCTCAAGTGTATCACAGACTTATATTTTCTATCACATTTCGACCATGCGGTTCGGAATAGCCGTTAAAAAAACAAGAGCTTAAGAAGGGAAAGATTTTGAACGGAAACAAGTCAATACAAGCTCGAAATTGAAGTCTAATATTCGGAAAAAGAATATTTACGCTTTTCTGATCACTTAGCCCTGGTCATTTTTGTAGATCACATATCGATCACTTAACAAAAACAAAAACAAAAAAGAAAACAAACAAGCGAAGCTTGAGAGAGGTGGTAATATATGTGGTGGTAAGTGAGGAGCAGGGAGTTGGCCAATTAGCCAGCAACATTCACATGGGCAGCTGGATAAACAGATGTTTTAAAAAGGCCAATAGGGCGCCAGATTGGCCGCTGAAACGCAGTGGAAACACGCGCTTTTGGATTCTTTTCGCGGGAAAAGGCTATCCTTAAAAAATTATCACGTGCCATTAAAGGGTTAACTTTATTGATAAGCGGTTTAACCGTCACAAGGGCGGCTATTAACGGATTTTCCTCATCATCAGCGGATATACATACATATATACATATGTATGTATGTTTTTTTTAGACGGTTTATAAATACATATGTATATGCGACGAAACCGCAACAACAACAACAACAAACACAATGCATCCATATCGATAGGCACTCACAGACACACGCGCACTTTTGAGCCGAAG